AAAGTTGATAATAATAGGGCTACAACAAGATCTGGTTTCGGATTATTGAGTGTAGTTTTCATGACTATTCTTATGTTATCCTGTACTCCTGCCTCGTGGATAAAATTGTTGCATTCTGCCAAGAGTGTTAAACTGCATGAATATAATTTTACCTCATCATAGACCCTTCTGCTCATTGTTATTGGGTAAGTATTCCATAATCATCACTATTAGTAGATCATAATACACCGGTAATTGAACCATGGTTCTATCCTAGAACAACCAAGTTCTGCCCCCCTCACCCTATTCTGACAATAAACAATGCTACATGGTTCACTGAAAATTTTATTAATGACAAACGGTCAATAAAAGTCTTTGAAACAAAAAGTGCATGTCAAAACTCATTTCCAACACCGGTTGTAAAGTGAGCATTAACTAAATGCTTGGCATCAAATCTACACACGATTCATACAGTACATAATAACAAAAAGTTTGACTGTGCTAATTTCAAATGGATTCCTATTGACTAACATGTCACCAGTAAGTTACATTTAATACACACCACAGCAAAGCAAAAGTAGCATTACGTGGTGAAGCTTTAGATGACTGCACCTTGAAGCACGTCGCACTGAAGTGGAAGGCGTACATTGAGATCATCCAAGTTGGCGCTACCACATATGCCCAGCCCATGCTCATTAGCGAGATGCAATAAGCATATAAAACATAAATGTGGAGACAGATCCTGAAGTGATGCAGCTGCTTTGCAGTCATTTGGAAAGGTAGCCAAGATATCCCTAAATGATACTGTATCTTCCTGCGCCTTTTCATAAAATAAATACGCCAATATTAGAATTTGCAATTCATATATAAGAGGAGTGACCCATCCTAGACATAACACTTGATCATCCTTCACTTCGTATATATTATATCCAGTAGACTAGTAAAGCCATAGCAGCAATAAGTTATACTAAGAATCTACATGAGCAGTAGAAAAAAAGAAAAAGAAAAAATTCATTTACAGAAAACAGTCTTCTCATAATTATCAAGGTTTTATTGACAAAATACTGTTTATCTGTAGAGCCACTATATCTCCAATTTCACTTATTTTGCCCTTCTCCAATGCTACTCTTCATACTCTAGACTCCGTGACAATGCACCTATACTATATATTTGCTTTTCACTAATAGCAGCTCAGCTTCAACCAAATCACAAAAAGCCATTGCTGCAGCTTCTTAGGGAGGAAATCCTGAATTCTCCAAAAGTAGTCTTCCCAAAATTCTCATCTTTACACTCTATATTCAAAATGTTGTGATCTTATCTGTCATGCAATTTAACTCAAAACTTTTATGACACCATTTCAATTATATAATGCCTCTTTTTTTCACTTGTATCTTTAATTCATTAACCCAATAATGCAGCTGGCAAACACCAGGCAGGTTGATTTCTAATCTCCCAGAAAGGCAATCATCCTGACAGAGTCAATGACGGTGTAGATTAAGCAATCACCATGGAACCAGAAATCAAAAGACCAGAATTCAAGATCCTCATGTCTGTTTATCAACTCAATTCAAGCCAACCGTAAATGCTTAATCAGTAGAAAAAATTAGCCATACAAGTCTACAACTTCATACAGTAACAGACAATGCCCTTCTTTGAGAAGAAATAAATTGGGGCGAGGAAGTTTCAAACATACTCCTGAAGTCTGAAATGTGTATGAATTGCTACACGATAGAAAAGAATTATATGCTCGGGCTTCAATCCTCTCAAGGCAGAAAAACTTCCATTTTAGTCTAAATAGCACACAACCTCAACAAGATAGGAACTTCTTTCTTCAACACACCAGGGAATGCATATTAGCAGGAAAAATATCCAAAATTACAAAATGGTTGCCACAAGAGGAGGGGAATGGGAACTTACTTGGACAAGCATTTGGTTTGAATTTTGTATATGGCTCCATAGAGTCTCTTTCAGTGCCTGAACATCAACTTGTTTGGACGTTTTGTCATACTGCACTTCAATCTTATTTACCTGTGTTGGTTAGAGGAAGCAAAACTGTACATTTCAATGCATACTAGAGCTGTTTAATTTAACAAATACAATCAAAGTAAATAACAAAAATATTGCCACATTCTGTTCTAATCGGTTCACAACAAATGATAGAAGAAAGAAAAATAGAAAAGAACTTTTATTTTGAAACATTGACAGTCTTTATTAAGACTTCAAAAGTCTCAAATGTTCAATTAAAAGAGAAGTATAAATATTTGGGGATTGATTTTCTTTCTTCAGAACAAGTGATTGAAAATTTAATCATGAACTTCTTTTCTTTTATTTCAATTTCTTGGCAACCATAAAAGATACAATTCAAGAAAATTCGTACGCGCATTACCTCGTTAAATCTTGAACACATGAAGGCACAAATAGAACATCTAAAACAAGCACAATCTGAATTGATAGACCCAAAGCACCCAACTAAGCATCAGATTGAGACACAATGGGATTTGATGACTGAATTAAACCAACCTGACGAGGCTGAGAGACAAGTGTGCTTGAATCCTCCACATTACTATAAGAATTTTCATCATCGTATTGGCCATCAAACCCACCATCATCCCAAGATGGCAATGGTCCATCATCATCTCTCTGTTGACTTGATTCATCTGACAACAAAAGCAAGCTTGATAATCCACATTATAACATCATATCAAATATCAAATATGACAACCCTGGACTTATTCATCAGAGCAAAACTAACCAAAAAATGATAACAGTATGACGATACATATTCCTCTCGAAAAGAGGTGCAAGACACATAAATAATATACCATCTCAGAAACCAGAAGGGTAATACTAAGAAAATGCCCGGCATCAAAATACTGTGACACAATACATGTAGACATAAACCAACTTCTTCTGTTGGCTCCTTCAAGACTAATTAGAAAAATGTTTATTTGCCTCAAACATGTAAGAGAACTCCAAAATGACGAAGAAAATAGCTCATAAATAATGCAACTAGCAGAAGTCCTGAATATTACAGGGTATATTTTGATGCAAATAAACCAAAAAAAAACCAAACTAGACTGTTTTGTCAATATAAAAGGATCATCAATGAATATTTTTGGGAATTAGTTGCTCCCTGTTTGAAAACGGATAATTTTTTTTACATTTACTTATATCACACTGTCAACCTGCTGTATCCAAAATTATAGTTTAGCACAAGATATTTCACACTTAATTTTCAAAAATGACCACAAATACCTTTTCCCCTTCACAAAAAATGTTGAAACTATTTCAGAAAATTTTCGAACCAGTTTAAAATATTAACAATGGAAAGTTCATAAGCATACGTCTGTTGCTTCTTTAAGACTGGATATCCACTTAATAATTACTTGGCTTTATTATCTATTTCTCTAAAGGCAGCTGATTTTTTATCTGTTATTACAAAGTACAAATTTCATCCTCCTTTTAGACTCGTGATTTAAAGTTTCAAAATATATGCCAAATTGGATGTCTTTTTCATCTCTTCGTTTTATACCTATTGGAAAGATCAAACAAAATGCAATCTTTCATTGCATACCAACACTTTCACCAGTGGGTTGTTTGAAAAGCTCGGGATAATGTTATCGTTTTCAGAAGTCCAGGTTTCATCTGTCTACACGAAATATGCACACTACCCAATCATCAAATGCTTTGTATGGAAATCATAACCAGAAGCTACAAACTTGAAAAACCAGCAGCAATATCTTTGGTACTCCTAGAATGAACAGCAAGTCAAATGTGACTATGCGAATGAGAAACTAGCCTAAAGAAATCAAATTTGTTCTATACAAGTTAAGACCTGAAATGCTACGTAGACACGAAAACAAAATATTTTGAATATTAGCAGTTGAAGTAATTTCACCTGAGGATTTTCTTCCTCTCCTCCCAAGGCACTGGCACAAGAACAAAGATCGTGAAAAATTACATTTAACATATAAGATAAACAACAGCAGGCTATATTGTCTGTATTAAATGCTGAAATTCTTTACCATAACATTAGGAAGAAGAAATAACTTGACAAGGTCCTCTGGCTGATAATGGCAATCTTCCGGAAGTGTTGTATTACAAGGTGTTCTATTTGCAGGCAGTAGTAGTGACTTGGGATTCTTAGGAGGAGCAAAGATATCCGGTGTATCATTGTCCAAGGCTTTTGTAAAATCAATATCACGTTCTCCTTGTTTTCTGCTCAGCGGTTTCTTAGTAGTTAACGGTGATCCATTTTCTTTGGAAGCCTCCTCTGAACCAATAAAACAGATTCTACATCACATAACACAATGGTTGATTCCTTCGATAAGAGTGCAGATTGATGATACAACCGCAATTAGCCTGTAAAATCTTACCTCTGGCTTTCTGATACTTCCAATGATCAGGACCTGCCCAGTTGTTTTGTTTTGAAGAAAACCCAAACTTAAAAACAAATAGCCATCAACTTTATCAAATCTGTCATCCACATCAGGTTCGTGGAAAGTAAATCCTTCATTGTCCTGCTAAAGTCAACCAAACTATGTCAGCAAACTTCATTTTTTTGTTCTTCTTAGGAAGGCAAATAATTATTAAATTAATATGAAAACCAAAACTACATCTACGGGAATTGGTTTGGCTCAAATGCTGAACAACTCCAGGGACCACTGCCATCGATCGGCAGTGGGCACCAACTTTTCGGGCCATCATTGAAACAATGGCAGAAGGGAATGCTGAATTTTTTCCAGTGGACCAAAAATGGAACTTCCTTTGACTTCAATTGGATAGCATATATAACACACCTCATGATTATTTGGAATAGTTGGATCCAAGTCACAATTTCCCTCATCAACCACACTTGTTTGGTCATCATGATCAAAGGCCCAAGTCCCACAGTTCTCAAAGGCATCACCATCCAACCAGTGTTATAGTCAGATGCTTCACAAACTTGCTCGGCTGATTTCTGGCAAGAAGAAAATGCATCTAACGGTCGTTGACTATCTTCATCAAATTGATTTACTATCTCCCTAAGACTGGGTGAAATTTCATCCTTCTTAGGCATGTTCAGCATCATCTGTTCAATGCTTTCTGTGAAAGAGAAAAACAAAGGGAATGATAATGCCTTCTGGATAAATGCAATTGACCATTCAAGCATGCAACAGAAAACATAAACCAAAGTCGTTAAACCTATACTATTAATAAAAAGAGAGCACGGGTTTGGTGTCCACTTAGTGGGACCGCAAAATACAAGTGGTCTTCTCATAGGCAGTTTCAATTTTGAAGTCATTTAAGTGTGTAGTCTCCTTATCTATCTCAACATCCACTACCCATACACTTCTCCCTTACTATATTCTCTAATTCTCATGCACATGTCAAACATTCCTCCTCCGCCTCTCTCTCCCTCAATGTATAGCGCTTGTGCTGACAAAAGCAACATACCTTTGGCAAAAGAAATATCAATTGCCTCTGCTCTATCATGCTGAACTGCACATGACATGCACTTCCCTGGCACTTCCAGAGAATCAAAGAGGACCCGACAGCCACCATATACTCCAAGATTATTCAACAAGAGACCCTTGGCCCCACCTTCATCAAATTGTGCTGATGTCTGATGATACAGAGGATCCACCGCAAATGCAACTGACAAATGAAAGATGCGTTGTTTTAGCATTGTGGTTAACCCTGATACAGTACTAGCCAATAAATGATGCACTACTGACCATCAAACTTCTTGACATTAAGAGCCTCAAAGGATGATTCCAAAGTTGATAAAGGAGACAACTGCATTTGCTAACTTTCATCAGTTCGGAGTTTGCGCTATTCTCGTAGTTTCTGTATGTTCAGAATGTATCAGAGATAAAACTATCTTACCTTCTTCTCTTGCTCTTTCTTTGAATAGCCTTCCTCTTCCCCACTGTTTACCCTAGCATCCTCCACCATACCATCTGTCAAAACAGCACAACATCAAAACACTGACACAGAGGGGAAATGAATCCCATATGCAACAAAATGCTGCAATCCAAAACTTAAAAGGCAAAATGATCATAAGAAACAAAGATATAGCACAAGATGATAAAAAGAAGAGCAGAGTAAACGGCATACGAAACATAGAGAAATGAGTGAATTTCCAATCTCATCCAGACTATTGCAATTAAAACTGCTGCCCTAGTGATAGATATGGAACAAAATTGCTAAACTCCCACTAATATTTGTCAAAGATTGAGTATTTAAAGGACAACACAATAAATTTACCCAGATTGGAGATTTATGAAAACCAGGCAGCGTGTACGTGACAAACACAATGTTTTCATTTATCAGTTTCCTGAAAGCATTAGTTTTATATTCTATTCCATACACTTGTCTAGCTCAAGTTCATCATGAGATGCAACTAGAAGTTCACTTAATTTGGATCAATTTTCTAGTGAATAAAAACCATAAGTTAGGTGCTCAATAGCAATACATATTAGAATACTGAAGAATTAGAGAAACTGAATATTTCCTAGATACTACGTAAAGTTTACAACGTAGCCCTATTTAAAGGGATAAACTTAACCTGATAACAATCAGATCAGAATATAACTCCTAAGACAACTCCTATATACAAGGTTCTGTTTAAATTCAAATTTAAAAAATATCTACACCACAACACTCCTAGAATTACACGTGTTTTCCCACACTCCCCCTCAAGCTGGTTCGTACACATCGTAAAGACCCAGCTTGCTCACTAAATCTTCGAATGTCTGTTTTTGCAACCCTTTTGTAAACAAATCAGCTAGTTGTTCTTTTGTAGGGACGTAACGCATACAGACAACTCCTTCTAATTTCTCCTTAATGAAATGTCTATCAATTTCAACATGTTTCGTCCTGTCATGTTGAACAGGATTGAGACAAATGTTAATTGCTACCTTGTTGTCGCAAAAAAGCTTCATAGGTCCTTCAACTTTGATTCCCATTTCTTCGACTAGTTTTTTAAGCCACAACAGTTTGTTTTTTACTTCGCCAAGAGACCAAATTACCTGCCACATATGTACAGAAACCTGTTGTTGACCTCCTGTCATTGATACATCCAGCCCAATCTGAATCTGTATAAGCTTCAATCTTTAATGGGTGCTAATTAGTGAAAAGCAATCCTCTACCAGGTGTTCTCTTCAAATACCTTAAAATCTTATATAAAGCTTCCAGATGTTCGTCTGTTGGAGAGTGCATGTGTTGACTGACCACACTAATCGAGAAGGCGATATCACGTCTAGTGTGAGATAAATAGATGAGTTTCCTGACTAGACGTTGATATCTCTCCTTATTGGTCTGTTTCTTCTCTCCACTATCCTTCAGTTTAAAGTTTGGTTCAATAGGAACCTCACTAGGCCTGCATCCTAGCATTCCGACCTCCTTGAGTAGATCCAGTGTATACTTCTTTTGCGTGATTGCAATACCCGATTTGATCTTGCTACTTCCATTCCTAAGAAATACTTCCAATATCTAAGATCTTTGATTTCGAATTCCTTCCCAAGATACTCCTTAACCTCTTGAACACCTTTACTATCATTACCTGTCACTATTATGTCGTCAACATATACGATTAACACAGTGATTCTCCCTGTCGAATACTTCAAAAACAGTGTGTGGTCAGTTTGACTTTGTGCAAACTCGAAGCCTTTTAATGCCTTTGAAAATCTGTCAAACCAGGCCCCTGGTGATTGTTTCAGACCATATAGTGATCTTTTTAGTCAGCATATGCTGTCCTTTCCATAGTGTTTCTCAAATCCTGGGGGGAGTGACATATACACCTCTTCTACTAGTTCTCCGTTAAGAAAAGTATTTTTTACATCAAGCTAGTGGAGTGGCCAATCTTGATTTGCTACTATAGACATGATCACTCTGGCTGTGTTCATCTTTGCTACGGGTGCAAAGGTCTCCTGGTAGTCGATGTTGTAAGTCTGTGCGTACCCTTTGGCAACCAACCGTGCTTTGTAACGATCAATCAATCCATCAGCCTTGTATTTGAGAGTGAAAACTCATTTATAGCCAACAAGAACCTTGCCTTCTGTCGATTTAACAATCTCCTAGGTTCCAATTTTTTCCAATGCCTTCATCTCCTCCATTACAGCCGCACGCTACTCTTGTTTCTCCAAAGCTTCTTCAATATTCGTGGGTATTTCTACAGAAGCCAGATTAAGGACAAAAGACAAATAGGCAGGAGATAATCTGTGAAATGAGGTATATTTAGCAATGGGATGTTGTGTGCAGGTTCTTACTCCTTTTCTGGTTGCTATGGGTAGATTTAGATCAGTAGCTTTTGCGTTTGATTCCTCAATCTCGACTGAAGGATAGGGCAGTATTGGTATGGGTTGAAAGGTCTGCATTATCCTGTTAGGATTTTCCCGCCTTGTATAAACACGAAGTTCAGGACAGTTAGATTCCTCCCCCTCTTTGCGATTTTCTAGCACCAGGATTGAGATAGAATTTTTTGGAGTTTTTGGAGAAATATCTGCCGAGTTCCTAGGATTTTTTGAATTTTCAGTTTGCTTATTTTTTAAAGGGATTGAAAATTTTGAATTTTAGTTTTAGTTTAGAGAGATTGATGGAGAAGTTAAGGTGTCATTCGAATTTTGAACTGTAGAGAAATTTGGAGAGATTTGAGGCTCATTTGAGTTTTGAAATGAAGAGATATTTGGAACTGATTCTACTGATTCTGATTCCCAAAACTTATCTTCCGATTCGAATTGTGAGCTTATCTCCCCCTGAAAAGGAGTTTTGGAGAAATAAGGAAGATTTTCAAAAAAGGTGACATTGGCTGACACAGAATTTTTTAGAGATGGGATCAAAACACTTGTGTCCTTTTAAGTAGACAGCCAAATGTTTTTAGGGGTAAAGAGTGTAATAACTTTGTATTTGGATAGAATTTTTTAAATATTTGAATGGGTGTTTGAAAATTGAGAACTTTAGATGACATACGATTAAATAAGTATGCAGCAGTCAAAACAGCTTCCCCCCAAAGATATTTTGGAACTTGATAGGTGAACATTAATGCCTTAGCCACTTCTAAGAGATGCCGATTTTTTCTTTCGGCTAGACCATTTTGTTGAGGACTATTGACACAGGAGGATTGATGAATGACTCCTTTTTCAGATAAAAAATTACCAAGTACATTAGAGAAATATTCACGACCATTATCCGTTCAAAAAAGTTGAATAGAAACACCAAATTGGGTTTTAATCATGTTGTAAAAATTTTGAAAGCACTGAAATGTTTTAGATTTGTCTTTTAATAGGTATATCCATGTCAAACGAGTATGATCATCAATAAAAGATATAAACCATCTGTACCTGAAATATTTTTCACACGGGATGGACCCCAGAGAAGATTGAAAGGCGAAGATTTTTCATAAATTTTTGAGCGGAAATGTGCTCTATGATGGTTTTGCAAGTTCACAAATCTCACATTGAAATAGAGAAGGATCTTTATTAGAAAATAAAACAGGAACCAATTTTGCTAAATAATGAAAACTGGGATGTCCTAATCTACGATTCCATAACATGATGTTATCTTCTTGAAGAGAAGTGGAGGCTTTATTTGCGACTTGAACTTGTCTACCTAAGCTTGATCCTTCTTCAAAATAATACAAACCATTCTCCAACCTAGCACTGCCAATCCTCTTCCCCGAGATCAAGTCCTAAAACTCACAGTAGGTAGGATAGAAGTTAGCAACACAGTTTTGGTCTTTAGTAAATTTGCTAACAGAAAACAAGTTACAAGTAAGTTTGGGAACATGTAACACAGAATTAAGGGCAAGATTTTGAGAGATAGGAATTTTTCCTTTTGCTACTATGGCCGATAGAGATCCATCAGCTATTCTAACTTTGATATTACCCAGGGAGAATAGGAGGTAAACAAATTAGATAAACCAGTCATGTGGTCAGACGCCCCTGAATCTATTATCCAAGAGACACAAGGGTTGTTTGTCATACCTGCTAAGGAGCAAGATGGATTAGGAGTGGATGCAGCTGGCGTTTTGGTCTTCTGAATCAGGTCCTGAAGAAGATCCCATTGCTCCTTGGAGATGATTGAGTCTTGAGAACCAGTCTGCGAGCCTGAATGAACAGACTGGGTATATTCAGTGACATGAAGAGCACAATTATTGCTCTTGGCGGGCTTATTGTTCTTCAGGCACGCTGGTTTACCATGCAGCTTCCAACAGGTTTCTTTGGTATGACCTATTTTGTGACAATGGTCACACCAAGGGCGTCTGTTGTCACTCCTTCGATTGTAACACTGCTGAGTTGTTAGAGTAGAGTCGGTAGCCAATGCAGATTTATCGATAGATAGAGTGGGCTGATTTCCTCCCATCATCACGAACCTGCGGCTTTTTTCCCCGCGAACAGCAGCAAAGACTTCGAAAATGGAAGGTAGGGGTTCTCTTCCAATTATTCGTCCCCGCACATCGTCTAAGTCTCAGTTGAGACCAATCAGAAACTCAAAGATGCGCTCTTGTTCAAGCTTCTTGTTGTACAGCGTACTGTTAGCAGCGCACTCCCATTTCACCTGTCAGTATTGATCTGCCTCTTTCCATAAACCTTTGAGAATGCTGTAGTATTGAGTGACTGAGAGCTCTCCCTGTCTGATTCGGCAGACCCTTTGAGTGACCTCAAATAGCTGTGCAGCATTACCAACATCAGAGTAAGTTTCAGCAGCGACTTCCCATATAGCTTTGGCAGTAGGAAGAAACAAATATAATCGACCTATATCTGGTTCCATAGAGTTGATCAACCAAGCCATCAACATGGAGTTTTCGGCCTCCTACGTAGGATATGAAGGATCTGATTCTGGCGGGGCTGTAGTGGTGCCGGAGAGATAGTCGTATCTCCCTCGACCTCGGACAAACATGATGAGAGAACGAGACCATAGCAGATAGTTCTGGCCATTTAGCTTGTGTGAGGTGATTTGCAGTGTGGGGTTTTCGGCTGGAGAAGCATGATGAGGTGTTGTTTGGGGAATAGTAGAAGGAAAGGAATTTGTTTCAAGGCTTTTGGAAGTATTATCACCTGAAAGATCAGACATGGTGTTTGGTTGGTGTGACGGCTGGGTTAGAGACTCTCAGGTTTTCTCTCAACTTTTTTGGATAGGGATCAGTTTTGCTCTGATAACATGAAGAATTAGAGAAACTGAATATTTCATAAATACTACGTAAAGTTTACAAGGTAGCCCTATTTAAAGGGATAAACTTAACCTGATAACAATCAGATCAAAATATAACTCCTAATAATCCGATCAGAATATAACTCCTACGATAACTCCTATATTTAAGGTTCTGTTTAAATTCAAATTTAAAAAATATCTACACCACAACACTCCTAGAATTACACGTGTTTTCCCACAAATATATTTTTCTTTTCTCTATGAACGAGGGGGCCAAAGATAGGTTGATGTAGATTGTATTAGGGAAGAATTAGAGATGAATAAGGAAGAAGAAAAGGATGAGAAAAGAAGAAGGGGATGAGAATAGAGAGAAAATTTTAGGAAGAAGATTCAATATCAATAGTCAATAATCAAAGTCTACCAAAATAAATACCATATTCCCTATATATATATATAGGGAGAGCACAAATCCTAAAAGAACTTTAAAAGAAATAAATAGTCATAATGACAACTAAACCCTTAAAAGTTAAAAGAAAATACTTAAAAGATAAACACTAAATTACTCTCATAATTAATTTAAAATATCTATTCAATTCCTATACAATCCCCATCATTCTCCTCCGGTTGAGAAAAATTGTCCTTCAGAGAGTCTTCAAAGTAGAAGTACCCTACGAGAGTAAAACGAAGATGACAGAATGCTTCATTTAGAATGAAGGAACCATCAATATCTTTCCATAAATCCGAATAAATGCAAGAATCTCCATCTGTAGCAATATAAATCTAGCCACGTAGTACATCATCTATTTGTCCCGAAATACGCGATAGAAGTGGAAAGATAAGATCAGGAGCTAATGCTGAGGAAGAAACAATTCCACCTATTGAAACACCTGATAACAAAATAATAGGCTCTGGAGTACATCGATTAAGTAGCATGTCCTCTCAAAAAAAATCTGGACTAATACTAACATTCAATAGAAAATTAAGCAAATAAGCATTAGATCTAAACTCACGAATAGCCAAACAATTCTCATTAGATTTAAATAAAAGGCATTCAGTAGGACAAGACATCAATGACAAAGAAGTAATTATAACACCCTGGTGCTGAAAATAAGAAAACACAGACTCAATTGAACACTTAACGGAAGACAAAGAAACAAAGTTTACACTCTCAAGTGGGGCAGAATCCAGAACAATGTCAACAATCTCAGGTGGAGAAGAATCTACAACAATGTCATCATGATTTAGAATAGTAGACATAGAATAATTGTAAATAGATTTTAAAATAGATAGCTCAATATGTTTAACTTCTTGCATTTTAACAAACTGAATGGATTTTTCCTCAAGTTCAATGATTAGTAATGATTCAACTTTTGGCTCCGATGATGTGGGAAACATGATAGGATCAAAAATAATCTCATCACTAGTATCAATATTCAAACGATTAAAAGTATGTTTGGAAGGATGGAAAACATAAGGGTCCAATGGAACAGAATAATGGCTATCATTATGCGGGTGTCCGACATTAGGTGAAACTGGAGACTTCTCCTTATTTTCTTCCATTTGTTGACTTGTAAGAATTTTATTCAAGTGAGAAAGTTAACTTGTTAATTTACATAATTGATTTTTCATCCCTCTACATTCTTCACATAATTGACCGAGTGAATATTTAGTATTGGCAACTTCAATTTCAAAGATCTCAACCTTTTTTTCTAGGGAAGTTTAGACTTTTGAATGGTCACTAATGACATTGAAGATTGATCCAGATTGACCTTGATGATGATTTTGGGAAGCATGACGTTTATAATTATTATGTAACCTAAGTGTCCCAGAATAGTATTCTACATAATCTTCATAATAAAACTCAAACTTACTGTGGACTTTATAATGACTCTGAGAAACTCTAGGAGTGGAATAGGTATAACGATGACGCTGTGGAGAACTGTAAACTTAAGACATTCTTGACGTTGGATAAGTATATGAATAGGCATCATAATGATCATATGAACTCATGATTGACTTTGAAAGATGAGAATAATATAAGAATGAGTTCAAGAATGCAATTGATAATTACAAGAAGTAAAAAACTTAAATAGAAGAAAATATGTTTTTGATCCTTTGTAAATTCTCTAATTTTTCAATGAATAAAAATATTAGTCTCAAATTCTATGGGAGTATGCATACTATAATCAAAAGAAAATTCTGAAATTTTTTGGGATGATTCTGTAATTTTATGGATCTGTTGGGGATGTTTCTGTTATTCTGGAACTTCTGGGAGAAAGATTCTGCAATTTCTGCAACTTCTGGGATGATGTTTCTGTAATTCTGAAACTTGTGGTGGTAGTTCTGTAATTTTTTAAACTTTTTGGGGTGTTTCTGTAATTTTTAGAACAGCTGGGATGTTGCTGCAATTTTCTGAATATGCCGAGACAATTCTATTTTTTTTTTTTGGTGATGAACAGTATTTTTTATGAACAATGCACGCGTGAACAGTGAACAGTAAATTTGTTTTTTAGACTTTGATACCAAATTGATGTAGATCGTATTAGGGAAGAATTAGGGATGAGAAGAGAAGAAGAAAGGGATGAGAAAAGAAGAAGGGGAAGAGAATAGAGAGAGAATTTTAGGAAGAAGATTCAATATCAATAGTCAATAATCAAAGTCTACCAAAACAAATACCATATTCCCAATATATATAAGGAGAGCACAAATCCTAGAAGAAATAAATAGTCATAATGATAACTAAACCCTTAAAAATTAAAAGAAAATACTTAAAAGATAAATACTAAATTACTCTCATAATTAATTTAAAATATCTATCCAATTCTTTTATGATCTCCATCATAGGTATTGTCGCTTTTTTTTCCCAAATTTTTGCAACCTCCGAAGGGTTAGTATAGCAAACAGTGAATAGCCTCTTGGATATTAATTATCGATTACCACATATAAATAGTTTTGTACAATTTGAAAAAGTTTTTCCTTGACCCTTCAGCCTTGCAAAATCAATAATTAATTAAGCACCAAAAATGTTTCCACGAAATGTGATTAACCAAAAAAATTGTATTTGCAGACAAGAGTTAAAACATTAAAGAAAGAGTTGCTAATGAACTGAGTGTTAGTGGTAATACAACCTAACCTTGTTCATTTTCTTGGCCAACTCGGTTAATCCCTCCAAGGACCTTATATGCCTCTGAATGCACTGAATCCACCCTCATTGAGTAAATCTTGACTCCAGCTTCAAGAGTGCAACTTGCCTGCACTCAGAAGTGCAAATAATATATATCAATGTGCCCAAATTGCATAAATGTGTGAGTGTGTTGGACAAATGGTGCTATAAAGTTCAAACAACGTTGACATCAATTTCAAGTATGTCCTAGAACTTATTTTCATGGTCATGGCCCATGCCTTGAAATCTCAATAAAGCAGCCGAAAGCATATTTACATGCCATGTTCTTTCCAAGTTGAACCACAAAGAGAATGATCATGCTTTGAGTCTCAGTGACAAGTGATCCCACCACACAAAAATACTATCAATAAATTTTAATCAAATTAACTAAAACTTGAATAAAAGAAGAAAATTTTGTTCTTCATTTGTGGGTGTGACTGTTCCTTATAAAATAAAGCACACAAATAGCATTGCCCTTTCAAATTTGACAAAGACCCATAAAAGAAGACAAGTTTGATCATGGCAATTAGCAACTATTATCTTCGCTAATAACTGCAATACTAATCATGTGGCCTATTTAAGTCACACGAAAGTCATGAAAGGAATTAAAAGACTCAAGGTTGACCACAAAACAACAAAATGACAAATAGTGAAACAAATACAAAATATCCACGAGTATTAGGTCTGAGGCATCTGGTCGAAAGTAGGAAGCAAAAAGTAACTACTTTACAAACAATTTAACAAAACAAATTCAACCACAAGAAGGGAAATATTCATGACAAAGTAGAAAAATTCAAACAAAGGAGAACCATCCCAATCGAAAGAGGACGCAAAAACAACAAGACTAATTAATAAGCTTGGAGATAATGTCACCTCATATCTCAGCCCATTTTTGTGTTATGAACAAAGAGAGAATGTTTTTCAAATAAGTCCTACGCAAACTCCTCACATTTCATATGTAAAAACTGCATCCACACGTGCAAAATAGGCTTTTTAACATTTAAAGAGCCAACCATGCTAGCCTAAATTGTGAAGCATCAGAATCAAGTGACAAGAAATTGTCTCATTCCAATAAGTAGGGTTGGTTGCCCACCTCATCATTTTTTCTTATTCCATGCTACGTAAAATATTAGCTATGTTAGTAACCAGTACGAGATGCTCCTATTTTAAGGCTAACTGTTAAATCTCTTCATGATTACCAGTTCCATTCAAAATAATCAATTAGAATAACCTCTGTTTCCCTTGTAGCCCTTATTAAGATGTAATAATCCAGAGTTTGTTGTTTATATCATTAATAATTTCGTAAGAATTAAGCTTCATATCATTTTTTGTGGTTTGTGCAATTGATGCGCTTGGCTCATAAGAAATACAACTAGCATAATAAGGCATAAGGCTAGTGCCTCACGGGATTGCACACAACTTAAGACCTCTCGTGGAAAGAAGCCTCAAGACCTTATTGTCACTCCTCCACCTAGATATACATTTTGCAGGTTATGCCTTTAACAATTCGTGCCAGGCCCAAATTCAAATTGAAACCCTTGAGATTGAGTCCACTGCATTAACCATGTTTAAACTGGAAGGATGGTTAAGCAATGAAAGTATTAAGTCCATTTCATATTTTATTCCTCTTCAACAAGAAACTTACATGAGATCAACATGGAATATATCCCTTACTGCCATATTTATTCACTCTTGTACTTGCAACCAATGAATTATACGAAACTTTTTGAGCATTCAAATTACCATGAAGCAACAGACTAGAAGTACAAACACATGAAGAATTGAAGATTGTTCTTCCACTTCTCTAGAATGGTAAGACTTTCTAGGAGACCCCCACAAGATTAGAAAGTAATAATTTTCCTGGGGAATCAGTATGTTAGTTGCAAAGCCTCAATCAAAGTGTAAAGCATATCTAGACCTCAAATAGCAAGCACAATGCTAACATTAGACCATAAGGAAGGGAACAAAACAGGCAATGCAGGTGTGCTGAATTGCATTCTAATAAGCATATAGTGAATTAAGGCATAAATCCGACTATTTCCATATAGCTAAGACAAGTATTATTCACCAAAAGTTAATATTTTTCCCCTACTTCAACTAATAACATGCGTCTACCTTCTGAAAATTGGTCTCCACATCATCTTCTTCTTCAATTTTGACGATGTCACAAAGATGATCTATCAGACCGAGCTCCCATGTATTCTTCTGATTAATTTTCTGCATCCCACAAAATCCAAACCAACAAAATTACCAACAATTCTAGAAAATAAACATCTAAAGGAATGGATTTATATATATTCAGGGGAGAGTAGACACATTTTCGCTGGCGAGTTTGATGCAATTCTGGAACAACTCAAGAATCTGTTGTTTGCCAAGATACGGGTCCGCCAGAGCAGGATGGGTAGTAGCGGTTGTTTTCCGGCGTATAGCGGCGGCGCGTGCTGCACGTGCCTGAGCGCGCTCGAGTTTGTCATCATTGGAGCCTAAAAAGAACGGACTCGTTGGAGAGAACGGGGCTCTCTGCTTCTGCGTCGTTGTTGGGTTAGGGCTTTGGGCTTCAGCCATTGATTACAGTTCGATTGGACCTTATGGTTTCACACCCTCTGCACTCTCACTACTATGTCTGTATCTATATCTGGTATTTGTATAGATCGAAGAAGAAGAAAAGAGATAGATAGCGAGAGAGAGAGAGAGAGAGAGAGAGGGGTTCCAAGGTTAGTGAAATGAAGTGAATCTGATGGAGGTTGTACAGAACGAAGTAGAAAAAAAAAGAGAGAGAGAAAGGATTCTGATTCTCCCTCCTTTGAGTTTGAATTTGAGGGTAAAGTTATGGTGTATGCCATATACATGTAACTTGATGGAGCCTTTATCATAGCCGTTGATTATTTCGATCCAAAAAGAGATGTGCGATGTGTTGAGTGCATGGGTTTTATTACATTTTTTTTTTAGTTCAACGATCAGAAATTTTTAGATTAATTTACAAATATTTTATCTAATTTTCTCCCTGATTTGATCAAAGATAAATTATCTACGTTAAAATTAATATATTCATAAATAATAAATTTTTCATAATCTAATTTTAAAAAATTATTAAAAATTAAATTTATAACATTTGAATTTACTTACCACTTAAACTATTCCGGACTTAGTTTTTATTACATTTGTGAGTCAGTCCATCAGTTCCATAGAGATGTTATTTCACATCGTTGTTTAGATTCAACGGCATTTCTGTTTTTTACCCTATTGATCTAGTCCGTCAGCTCGGCCTAATTTGGCCCAATAAGTTGGGTTTTCAACATGATCCATAATCCGGCCCATCAACTGATCAATTTTTTATTTTTATTGAATTTCTAAGTCATCTGCAAAAATATTATTTAGAAAATCAATAAATAGTGCTTTAAATATTTCATTCTATCCATCAAAATCTCTCCAACTCTCAAACCTTTATCTATTGCTATGACCTCATCGCCGATGGAGGACTTGGGTGCTTCCACCGACACCAATGCAAAAGCCTTCGGCGGAGTCCCATTGTCATCTCTAATCACGTCCTTCTGCTACTTCTACATATATGTTGGAACCGGCAATGTTGACCATACCCTGAATTGATGGTTGTAGACAAAATATTTTATAATTTTTTTTCGCTTATAAATTTACTATTTAATGCCCATACCTAAAAGCCCTCTAACAAAAAATAATTTCCGACTTAAAAAATAGAATTAATTAAAAAAAGTTAACTCATCTAAGAAATGTAAAAAACTTACAACCCATCAATTTCTTTCTATGTTCTTTCCTCATCCTTCTCTTCTCGGGGAAAATCTGGACATACATGTCATAGAAATAAGGGTGTAACGCGAGCGGGTTAGGAGGGTTGAGAGGTTAACTCTAGTTCAACCTAAAGTATAGAATCTTCAACCCTAATTCTGACCCTACCTCAACTCGTAGTAGTCAACTCGAGTACTATCCGAGTTTAATTCGAGTGAGACTCGGGTTGAATTCGGATTAGATTTGTGTTACTTAATTCAGATTGATTTTTTCAAATATAAATTTGATTTTTTCAAGTGTATAGTTGATTTTTTCAAGTAATATGAGATGAATAACGGGACGTTTATGAAGAGAGGAGTGAGAGAGAGAGTAGTGACGAGTCAGAGAGGGAGGCCGAGAGAAGGAAGAGTTACAAGTGAGACAGAGATCTAAGAGTGATAGATCAGCAAGAGTGAAAATTTTGAAGTGAAGTGAAAGTCTGAACTTTAAAATGTGAAGATAAATATTAACCCTAATTAAATATATTTTTATATTTATGTATATTTGAGTTCAACCCAATTTTAATATTCGAGTTGAATCTGACAACTTGATGTCTCAACCCTAATCTTACCCAAATTCAATTCGAATTAAAATTTTTTTACCCAGACCCAACCCAAGTATTAAAAATTCTAACTCAAACCTTGTTTTTTTCGAATTGGGCTCAAATTGAATTCAATTTAGTCCGCCCAAATTGCAATAGAAATAGAAGCCCCTTACTAACCTAAAAAGGGCTACTGTGACACGAGACAGAATGAACCGCAAATGAGGAGATTTATTGAGAGACTTAACCTATAGATAGGTTATGCATGGAAGCCGGTGAACAAAACGTGTGACCATTAATGAGCAGGGTACCATCACTTAAAAAGTAGATAAAAAATAAATAATCATAAAGGATGGGAATTTACAATTGACTATCATCAAGGGAAACAATGTCCACCTGGAAAAAAAAATAATAAGATTGCATCATGGGACAACAGATTTTCGTACCATGAAGAAATACAAAAATAATAATCTCAATGAAAAAGTATAATAGCTACAATCACAACAATAATATTGAATCATGTCACAACGACATCATTATATCAATTTTTTAGATCGCAAGAACTTTGCTCCAAAATTTTCCATGGCGTCACATAAACTACGAACAAAAAGAAAGAAAGGGCAGAACACTAACCTTACATTAAATTAAAATTCAAGAATTCAAAAAGAAGCCAAGTGGTTAGTGATGTATAAGTCAAGCTGCTTAACGATGAGTCTCAACTCTTTTAACATTTTTTTTTTTTTTTAAATTTAACCTGAGTGCAGACAACAATCTTTCATCAGCTGTCAAGAACTGTAACTATAACTTTTAGAAATCTCCAACCTCAAACCCCGCAGTTAAAACCTGTCCCCGTACATCATTTCCAAATGGAAGGTTGTTGCATCTTTTCTGTTCTTCAACTCCCCGTCTCGGCCTCATATACAATGGACCAGGCCAAACCATGTTAGAGCGTCCCCAAAAGATGCTATAAATGATCAAAATAGCTAAAATTTGATTAATCAAAGTCAAAAGTCATGCTCCAACGGATGCTGCTCATATACTCTAAAATAGATTTTTGCTACAGTGATACTCTAAATATAGAGTATCACTGTAAGAACTTGTAAACATATTTTATATTATTTTCTTTCTCTTCCTCTCCTTTCTCCATTCTCTCTCTCCCTTTCATTATTCTCAAAAAAAAAATATATAAAAGGAATGAAAAAAATATTTAAAATAAATAGTTAAAAAAATAGAAAATCTCTTGGAGTGTGTATTGAAAAAGTGAGTAATTAAAATTGAAAAAATTACTTTTTAGGTAGCTAAAATACAACTTCTTGTTGGAGATGCTCTTACATGGGAATATGTTGGTTCCAACCAATAGGAGAAAACATGAGGCCCGAGTAAAATTTGACTTCCCTTTCCCCAAAGAGTTCGGTCCAACCCTGGGACTCCAGTTTCCCCAACTGTGGGATGGTTGCACAACTTACTCTGGCTGCTTTGAGTGTTGCTGTGCATGTTTAGAATTAAATGTATGACACTATTCATTTCGGGGTATCAAATAATGCATCCAGATCATAGGTACCAACCACACCATCAATCAACAGCCGCATGGCTGCTCCATGTGAGAACTTTCTTGCAAATACAAAACAAGGAGCAAGCGAAGAATTAGTACGACATAACTCCGTCCGATTCTCAGATTTGTAGTCAATATGTTTGATATCCTGCCAGATAGAAAGCCGAGGGCATAAGACAAGGATTGGCATGGAATTGAGGGTCCCAAGACTGAATAGATTTTAAATAGCAAGTAACCTTCTTCAACTATCATAAAAACCATCTGAAAACTTTAACAAGCTAAAATGGTTCATTTGTGTGCCCATACAGGGTTTCACTGTAAGAGAAAAAACAAGTAAGATAGTATGAAAATGACCTCAGGATGTACAGAAATTATACCGACTGCAGTAATACGACAGAGGGAACTTTCTGAGAAAAAGAAAAAGAGGGGCAAGTAACTGGGCCAGGTAACGGAATACTGTATAGGAATCATTACTTCAATTGTACAAAGGCACGAGCAACATGCGATCCCTTCACCACGCACAGAGAATAGTTACTGATCATAATGGCATTGTAAGCATTTTCTGTTTTCTTTTGATAAGTATGCGTACAAGTAATGTAAATCCCTGTATCTACGCCCCCACTGCCCTCCACCCCACCCCAATTCTTTTCAGCAGAGTGTGGATCAAAGTCTCCTACCCATTTGAATTTTCCGGTACACATACTTGTTTTTTTGCTAGCCCCATGTGCGAGCCCGGTTCCCATATATTCTTATATCCTGGTCAAGTGATTAGTATTTAGTACCAGCCAAGGTTGTTTTATATACTCGAGGGTCACTCCACTAAGTTGGATGCTCTAACAATACATTCTTGTCTACACTAGTTCTTTCAGCTACAATCCCAGGATATCAGAATTCTGTGTCAGTTCAAACTGATGCATATCCTCGGATTCAGAAAACCCACCTCCAAACACAGGACAAAATACAGTGCTTTACTAACTTGATGAGGTGTTATTTGATTATAGGACCTGTCTTTGCTCCACCAGATATCTCCCTCACTTCCTTCTTCAGGAATGGGTTGTGCCAATTTCTTCCCAATATGATCTGCAGAGTGAGTTCATTCATCTATTGTCGGATGCAGTTGCTTCTGCTTCTCACACCTCTTCCTCTTCTTTGTGTAGCAGATTTGGCGGTGCAATTGGTTCTCGGATAGCAGATTTATTTTGAAAGTCTTTCAAAATCATAGATTGTTAAGTTACTTCTATTCCAAGGATTTCTTCATTGATTTGGTATATCCATCAATTCTTCATTGTGAATTGATCCTCTAATCAATAACTCAACAAAGCCCAATACCAACTAAACTTTTGGGTTAAAAGAGGAGTGACCACAACCAAACAGGCCATGGGCATCTCTGTCCCAGTAGTATCCAAGTGCAGCAAGGAACTAATACTTGGAGGAGTGGATGGATCAATTGTATTTTACCGAACCCTTTGTTCTTCATTTCCAGCTCAATGGTAGGTTCAATTTGGTCAGACACCCACTGAAAGCAAACTAAGAATGATTTCAGTCACCTCTGCTGTGCTTTTTTCCCCCAGGTTATTTGAGATTTCCAAAACTAAAGGGCAAATTAAGGTGGAGATCGGAACTAGTCATTCTGCTGATCTTTTTTAGGTAGTCAAGATATTTGTTTATCCCTTCCCCAGAGCTGCCTTCACGTCTATGATTATGGATGCGAAATATTATTTGATGTTTAGATGGAAAATTGCCTTTCAGTCAGTTTACAATCAAGAAGCTCAAAAGTACAAATGCAAGTCCTAGTAGAGAGAGGCAAGTTGCCTTCTTATAACTAGCCCAAGATCAAACATCACCACACACACACACAACCCCCCCCCTTCTCCCCTCACGGGGGCAGCAGTCCTAGTATATGCAACAAATACCCACGCCATCTCTAAATGCAATTCAGGTTCACACATATCAGCAGGGTCACATATGGAACATTTTCCTATGCTTGTGGCCCATGCATTGATTCTCAAGCATATAAACTGAATTAACAACAATGACTCACCTTTATTTTGTTAATTTGTAGCTGCCCAGCATTTGCATAGTTAAAAGTAACCGGGTGCCAAGATTTTGTATCCATTTTCACGCCAGACTGATTCCACAAAGAGTATGTCAATGTTCGCCGTTCAAGTTCATCTTCAAGTCCCCTCAACTTGTTGTGAAACAGAAACAAAATGAAGAAAAATGAGCCGATGAAACACTAAGTTTGATACACACACCCACAAAAAAAGAAAAGAAAAGAACAATATAGCAGATATTTCTAATCAGCATTATCAATTGAACGGCCAAGGTCAGGTGAGTGAAAGAAATGAGAAAAATTGGTATTTATATTGATGAAGGCAACATCATTTACTAACTATGAAACTAGGGATATAACCAAAGAATTTCTTCAATAATGAGACAGTTGAAAAAAAAATCAGTTATTGCTTACTGTAAGTAATGTCTGCACAAAGTGTTCATCTGGAATACAGTTGTGTTCAATCTGTTTCTGTATTACAATTTAAAATTAGCACAAATCAGTCAATTGATTGGAAGAGAGAGATCATGCTTATTTTTGTGCAAAGTTCTACACCATAAAGAATAATGTAAAAAATTAGGGACATCTATTTCAATTTTCATCAGTAAACAAGGAATAATGTTCACTTACCAGAGACACATTTCCCTTACTTGAGTCTAAAAGTGGCCGCCGCTGAAAGATGAATAACATTCAAAACTATCAGTTGAAACCTCCAACAAAAGTATAACATGGTAAAAAATCTGCCAAGATTCAAATTCAGCAAGCTAGTATTGATTAGTAAGTCAGCGACAAGTTGCATTTACAATTATCAAGAGTTCCAAGAGAAGCAGTTTGTAACCTCAATAGATGAATAGGCAGAACCAGTTAGTGGTCTCCATGTATACCTTGCAAAATTTCTTGAAGAGAGAAAGAACAACATCATCATCGACAACCACCTCTGCATGTCTTCTGATCAAAGCGATCCACTGAAATCACATCACCAGAACCCCACAGGAAGATGAGACATGGATTGCAATCCATTAAAAGTGCTCATGATATCCTAATTGAATATAACTACTGTTACAAACTGATTGCTAGAATATTAAGGGACATTCTGATTTCCGAGATAAAAACACATAAATACTGCAAAGAACAGCCTCCTGCACCTAGGCATTAAATCCCAAGCTGGCATTACTTTCTAAATATGAATCCTTTTCTAAGGCCAGATGCCATAGTCAAACTATCCAAAGCAATTGTTTAGTTTTGATCCAACAAGAGAGGAGGAGGGAGAATGGGTGTCCTGATATCATTTTGCAAGTGTAGGCATAGAAGTCATGAAACCCAAGTGCTCCAACGTAAAAAGACCATATATAATGTAACAGCACCTATCAAATCAGAGCACATTAAAACACAAGGATGTTAATGATTTGTTATCCACAATTGTCATGACTAGTCTAGATAGATGTATGGCCTTTCATAATGTCTATCCAACATCCACTTCAGAATTTTTTACCTAAGTTCAAATATAAAACACAATTATGAAGGAAGGCAAAGGAAAACCTGGGATCCTTTCCTCCATTTGGCCTCTGGTATGCCAGGTGACATCTTTGGGTTGTAACGCAATTCTTTTACGTCAACAAAGCTGTCAGACAGAAATTTCACAAAACTCATCAGATGCACAAAGAAACTGCAAGTAAATGCAACATGTCAATCAATATTTTTAGTGATATGTTAAACTTTGAGAGACTGATTGGCCATTATGTGTACCTGTCAACAAAGCTTCTTGGAGAAGACATCAGGTAGCTGTATACATAACTGAAGTTGTACAAGGGCACGCAACTGTACAATAAGCAACTTACAAATTACATCTTAAGTTTAGATTGAGCTCAATCAACAATTCATTTCACAGGATGAAAAAGTTAAAAAGGGGGTAAAGCCCAAGTCCAAGAGTGGATGAATGCAAATCTTGAGTAATCTTTCAAGACATTGATTAATCCAGGGAAAAAAAAAAAGACAGAAAGAAAAGAAAAGAGAATTTTTATATCCACTTTATCCTCCCTAATTAAAATATCCTAGATTCTATATGCTAGTGCTTCTCATTGTGGGGGTCACCAAGTGGTCTCGAAAGTTGCAATCCCTCACACTGAGGGTTTCCGAACCTCTTATTGCTACAAAGATTGGGATATAACATTCAAGGATTAATAAAACAAAGAAGAAATTCTAGATGAGTACCGGATGTCTTATAAAGATACTCCAACATCAAGGAGATAACTAGATGGCTGTCATACATTGCGGCTTCGTTGCAAACGAAGCTAAAATGTGAGTGCAAAAAAGTTTATGAATCAAGATGGAAAATAAAACTTCAATGATAAGGTGGATTTACTATTCTAAAAATACGTCAATAGTAATTGAAAAAAGACAAACTAATTAGCCACTTGAGGTTTATCAATAAGGCCATTGCTTGGTGCACTCATAATCCTGTCGGGCATACAGCTGTAAGGTTAAAAGTTCAAATTAGAGAGAGTCCCTTCTGTGCAAAATACATCAAATGTTAGGATATTATCTGATCCACCCCTCCCAGCGCTCTAGATTAATGGAATCAACTGGGTAATGACCCCATAGATAAATCAACCAGTAATCCGCTGTTAGAAAGTCCATGCCCCAATTCCCCACTATATTTCCAAGTAAACTAATCTTAATAAGTTCCGAATTTTTTAGATAGTACCATGTATTAGTTGATTAAAGAGGGGCCGGATATGACACAGAAACAAAGTAGAGAACAGCAAAAAAATATGCACAAAGCCCAAAATTGACCAATAAATCCAGGAAATGTGAAACATCACCAAATTTAAACAGAGAACTTGGATTCCCAAAAGTGGAAAATCAAGGGGTCAAACAGACGATTCAAGAGGTAACAATCAGACTAGTTAGACAATTTCAACTTCCTGGCGACTTTAGATGTCGTCAAAAAAATATACTGACTAGTCTAGTAATCAAAAAACACAATTAGGGAAAAAAAAATTTGAGGAAGAAGAATGATTGGGTATTTCATGAAAAACACTGAAGCATAATTGATGAAATCATAGGGATTTCGAAGACTGTAGAACAGACAAATGAAAACAAGAAACCTGTCGGAGAGAAGAACAAATCTCTGATTGGCTGGATTATCAATAGCTGCTTCAAATAACAACGTTTCTGCTTCTATCATACTCGGTTCTCCCCAAGCCACCTGCAACAAAATTGCGGTCGATGGATAATCAGCGTCGATTTACTAAATCAAGAACAAAGCTCAGCAATGTCCAAAAGCCAAGCTGAAGCAATGTTAACGGTCACGGGATTGAATTAGTACCCGAATGCTGTTTCTCAACTGTCGACCGTAAAAGAAAGTTGACCTCGTAGTCGACTTATCAAACACAAAACCGGGCTTTGAATGTACATAAATTGAGAAATTCGCAACATCGCCATTCTGTGAGCTCAACAACGCCATAACAAACAATTATTCAAAACCTCTTTCTTTCACTACATATGTGTGTAGTGAGTAAAACAACATAAAAATTGAGAAATTCCTGTACCTGGAAGAAGCTGTGCCAGAGGAAATCGAGAGGAAGGTTTTCGCGAACGAGGAAGAGAAAGGCGATCTTAGGAGAGCCTTCAAAGTGATGTATATATCTACGATGCCTAGCAGGTTGAAGCTTGTAAAGAGAATGGAGTCTGAGAAGAGCGAACAAGCAGAGGAACGCCGAGAGCAAGATCACAAGCTTCAGGCCGAACAAGAACAGGCGGTGTCTCAAGGACGAAGAAGCTGGTCTCCTCTTCATCATTGCTTCGTCTTCTGAATCTCCTGCTCTGCAAAAACACACACACACACACACAGAGTCGATACGAACTATAGAGTTGGCGAGGGTTCGAGAACGGCACGCAATTACAGCTCCAAATTGTACTTTCCGTATTCGCCTCCTTCGCCGTTCACACCACGAAATTGTTCCTCTCTCATTCAATGTACTCCTCTCTCTCTCTCTCTCTCTCTAAAACCCTCTCTTTCTCTCTCTAAAACCTCTGCATACAACACCTCTCAAATCGACTGTGTGTGTGAATGAGAGAGAGAGAAAGAGAGAAGAGAGAGAAACACGTTATTAGTTTATGAGACATACATAAAATTTAAAATGCCACAAAATGAGATTAATAGTTGATTTTCCCAAGTCTAAGTCACCCGCAATCATCGGTTCAATCGAGTAAAATATTTAATTTTTTTATTAAATAATAATAATATAAAAAATAAACTTAATACAAAAAATTTACGTAAATTATACTTTACCCCATTGAATTATTGTCTTTCTTTCACTTTATATCTTTAATTATAAAAATTTTCACATTACACTCTAAAGTATCAATTTTACTTTATATCACTCAAATAAATAAGGACTATTAATTTTTTGATAGTAAATACACTTGTAAATGGTACGTATTATCAATAAACAATTGTCTAGTACACATGTGTAAGGCAAAAATTAAAAAAAATACTCACTCGTGACTTTGCATTCTCAAAACTCTAAATTTTCTTCCTTGGGTTGACCACCTTTTTCTTTCTACTAACCATTTGATTGTAAAAGAGGTAAAATAAAATGGTACTAGACACTTGGTGGAAAGTTCTTTGTGGGGTTTTCTCCCTCAGTTGATAGATTGTCAAGTTTGTTGTATTCTCTATAAGAGTGATATGAAATAAAATTGATACTTTATAGTATAATTTAAAAAAATTTATAGTTAAAGATGCAAAGTAAAACATAGAAAATAATTCAGAAGAATAAAGTGTAATTTAATCTTTTATTATTGTTAAGAATGTACATAAATCTATAGTATAAAGCAGAACATATTTCGATAAATCCATTTGAAGGTCTCAAACGGCAACCAATATCTCTATTAAAACTATTCATTATGGGTGATAATCAAATCAAGCTCGACGAGCATCACCATGCTCAGGCTTGACTCGACATTTTGGGAAAATAGCTCGACTTGAGCTCGAACGTCAAGCTTATTTTTAAGCTCGAGCTCGACTTGACTGAAAATGGAAAGTTAAAGCTTGACTTGATTAGGCTCGTTTTCTGTTAACAAGCTCGAATCCAAGCTCTAGCTTGTATAAAGTTTGATCCAAGAATTTAAATCCAGCCTTAAATTTTAACAAATTCAACACCACTTAACACAATATAACAAATTCATAATCAGTTTCTCCACGAACACCGCCTAACAATTAACACCAATTACATATATAAAAAACACAACATGCACTTACGCACATCACCAACCAAAAAAATTGTCCATAAATAACTAGATTAAACAACCAGCCACATAAAACTAATCACAAAAATTCGAAAAAGAAGCTGTCAAGTGCCGAGCGCCAACAAAAAAATTAAAAAAGAAGTTGTTAAGTGCCAACAAAAAATCAGTCTATTTCACCCAAAAAACAGTCAAATGTCCTTGTAATAGAGCCTGCAATAAAAAAATCATAACCAAGAATTAGTATTTTGTTGGCAAACAAATTAAAGGCAAGACAAGAATTATTTTATTATTGATACATTCAAAAAAATGATTCAAAAGTTGTTTTCCTCAAGGCTACCTCCATTCAGAAACTCATTCTCTTCAACAAACTTGTAAATAAGAAGCATCACAAAACAATTCATGTTCAACCATCCTAAAAGGATATTCATACACTATGATCATTTTTGTTAAAATTTCCAAACTTTCGAGGTCTTCCTCTTGGATTTTTTTTGGAGTGGTTTATTTTCAAAAGGCTCTTCGATTGTAACAACATCGTTAACGCTAGCTTTTTGATTTTCACCAACATTTATAGTACTAGGGGGCACAGATTCTTTTGATAATAAACATAAAATATATACACAACAGACGAAGGTCAAGTATATCTGTTTTGCCATACTACAAGCCTTGTCAAATGAATTGAGAATCTCGTAGTAGTAGACTGAGAAATTGAGGGCCAGCCACAGCCTTATCAGATGAGTAGACTAAGAAAATGAGGGCTTCAGACGATGAGAGGCAAGAGATGAGATGAATAAGGGCTTCAGCCGATGAGAGATGGACGAGAGAAGTAGAATTGAGAGCTTAAGGCTTGAGAGTTATAGATGGCGCCTTCAGATTGGCTTTGGGTGTATTATGGTTGGACACGTTAATATGCATGTTGTCCTCAATGTTGGATTTCAGTAAAGGTTTGGAATGGACGACTATAATTAGACCGCAAAAAATAATAGTAAAACTAGGTAAAAAATATTAAACTTAATCAAGCCATTCAAGCTGCTCAAACCGGAGCTCGAGCTTGTCTCATTTTTAAACAAACCTAAAATTATGTTGATATTCATCTTGTTTAAAATATTCAAACGAGCTCGAACGAGTCTAAAATGAGTCGAACTCAAGTTGAGCTCGAATAACTCAGTTCAATTAACAGCCCTACCATTCACATTACAACGTACTTTTAGGCACATTTTAACCCCAGTAAATTACAAAGCTCAACGTCTACTTGGGTTCGTCCACTATCACAAAGATACCAAATGCCCATTTGACACAACGCTTGAATATCGATGCTGCAGCACAACTTGCTAATTGAACTGAACGAATATTCAATATAGGATTCGAGGACACGGGTATTTTCAGTCTGCTACTCATATCAATGGTTCTTATTTAAAATCAACGGGGGACCATTCGCATTCCAACCCTCCCATACCATTTTACAAGCTTTCAGCAGAATACACCTGCTGCACATCTACATCAGCCTATTGATGATGAGGTGAAAGAATCGATGTTGATAATACGATGCATTAATTGGAATTTTTCATCAAATAAGCTACTATGCATCCCAACGCAGCACCAGCGACTACCTGAACAAAATAGACAAATCAAAATCGATACAAACAAACAAGTCATATCTGAACTGAATTTAACATCTCAAGGTCATGACTTAAGACAGCAAGATGCTTATCTAACCACCATCTACTCTTCAAAACCACTATAACTGTTTTTTTTACAAATAAGATCATCATCTACATCATGTCCGGCAACAATGTATTTTTTTGGGAGCATGTATAAAACTCCACTATTTTTTGTAAACAAGAAAAGGCTAAACATGCACTAGCAGTCATAAGGCATGGCCATAAAGAAAGATGGGAATCTAATGACATGTTATGAGTGCCACAATAATGATAATTCATGTTCCATTTTCCAATGATTAGAAATCACAGAATGATTGTGCTCTGATTTTGTGGAAATCCTCTCTAGGATAGCAACAGCAGTTGTAATATTTCTCTCCTCACATAACAAACTGCAGAAACCATATCCGGCTATTGCTGGAAATATGTCTGATGGAGAATACATGTATGGGAAAAGTTACAAAACTTTAAGCTCCATTAAATTTGAAATTTATCTGATGCTAAGCTTTCTGCTGAAATAGTGATTACAAGAAGTTTTGGAAGTCAAGCATTGCTTGAGGTCAGTCTAGCATTCTTCCAACATAAGATTCCCATCACATAGTGATTGTTGATGTCACAATTTAGGTATCAGACTACACATATTCCAACGCAAAATATTGTGTCCAATGATATCCCATTTGTATGACTGGCAACTGCCATTTTTTGAGAGGTTCCACCGACTTGTGAATAGTGATTCAAGTCACACTAATCCATACAATCAAGTTGGACAGTGGCAGCAAACGAGGTTTTGAAGTGTAGATGTTTCAGGCATAATAACTTACAGTAGAATAAGTAATGGACATCCAATTATTTAAAATGGGAACATTCAGAGTCCAACAAACCTGGAGTGGAGTATGCCCAAGTGAATCGCACAAAGGTCTAGCACTAGATAAAGGGTGTTCAGGAGGAAATTCACAGACAATTTGGTTCAACAACTGCAATTGAAATAGACACAAGAATGCATTAGCACTAGAAGCTTTACACACCAACCTACTCAAATAGACAGCACAAATGCTCATGAAAAAAACCATCGACACAACTGCAATGGGTGTAACACTCAACCTCCCTCCCCCCAAAAAACGAAAGAAAAGAAATGGTCAGAGAAGGGAAAAAATTGCAATCAGCAAACTTGTTATAGCCCACCTGAGTTCATATTTTATCATGCAGTAGAAATAAAGGAAAGAAATGGAAAACTAAAATGCAAAGTCTTGAGAGGAATTCCAGGAACACTATCCCAACCCCAATCAATACCAGAAAATTTAAGGCTGTGAAAATGCCTGTTTTCAATTGCAGTAGTGCCACTGCCAGGTCAAAGAGAAAAGTAAATGCAATTCTGTATTTTGTTGTATGTTATCTTTAACGCATATCTGCTGTGAGCCTGAAAGTGTTACAATATTTGATTAGTGTGTCCTTGATAGCTTACTGGTCAGTCTGCTTTCTCTATTTCTTTGCTCGAGAATTACAATCTGTGTAATGGAGTTACAAGAACAGATATGCTTAAGGTTCCAACATTTTATTTTGCTTTTGAAAAGTGTCTAAGATGAAAATCACGTTGATTGATAACTCAAATCAACTGTCTTTCAAGATAAAGAAAGCATGCAGCAGACAAAGGTCGACCAAGGTTCCTTTAATGTGGCAGGCAATCTTACTTCAGCTTGCCGACCAGCATGAAGTCTGACTCCAGAGGCATCATACATCACCTGCACATAATTCAAAAAGTAGTGAATGTCTGGCCTTATTCTCTTGAACTCCGCGGATATAAATCATCCAGCTTTATTCAAGAAAAAAAAAACAAATTTCTTCACAGGGTTTGATCGATTTCAGCATTAAAGAGACTCAAGGCAACAAATTCAAAAGCAGTATCACAAAAACAGAGAGGATTTGAAAATGAAACAGATAAGATAGGCATTATTTGTATTGATGTTCTATAACTGAGTTGACTAATCAGTTGACAACCCCCTCTCCCCCTCCCCCAAAACAAAATCCCCTATCTTCTGTTCTCAATCAATGAGAAGCTACAAGATAGCACAAGAATACCCAAACAGCTAGTTTGGCTCACACATGTTCACATCTTTACAACATACTAGACCATATCTCTAAAACTTCAAAGCATGATTAATGCACCAATAAAATGGGGATCTGTTTGAAAAAAACTAATATTTAAAAAGGCATAGTTGCAAAATCAGATGACAAAGCAATGTTCCACTTAAATGTTGTTAAAACGATTGTTAACCCAGTTTCTTGATCCCTTTTTTAAATGCTCATCAAGCCTCAAGTGAAGAGTCATGATATGCGAGGACCAAATATGCCAACAACTCAAAGTCCATAAAAGACTTTAAGGGAGAGAAAATAGGGTACCCTAAAAATGACATTGTCCAACTCAAACAGCATGCAAAAGTGCCAAAAACCTTTCCATCAGGGAAATGTGCAAAGGATTCCCAGGAGCATGCTGGTTCAAGTTACTAAGGGGAAAAAGGGGTAAAATGTGGTTAAAGAGTACATACCACACAGGCCAAGATAACTGCTATGGCAAAACTTGGTCCTCCTGTTCCCTCTTGTAGACCAATTGCTACTGCTAGAGCCATCACAGTTGCAGAATGGGATGACGGCATTCCACCAGAATCAATCATTCTTTTAGAATCCCATCGCTTTTCCTTATACCTGAGCATCTAGGAGAAACGTATTGATAAGTGAGCTAGTATGTCACTAAGATGTTCACGCTCATGATGTGATCCAGTTCCATCAGCCTTTAAGCAACTCATTGTGAATCAATCAAATTCAAGTCAGATAGAATAATGATGCAGCAAAAGGCATAGAATTTTGACACAAAGAACGTGATAAAGCCAAAAGAGCAAATCAAAACTTCATTTGAATTAACACTCATTAAATAACAGAAATTTATCCATCTATAGATAGCAATGTAGTGGGGCTATATGAACTCCAAAACTCGATTCTCAATTTGCTGGATTTTACATTTTTTGAATCTGACTTGGCTTCAAGTGATTGGTTTTTGAACAATTTCTTGAATTACTTAATCTTTTATTTAGCAGAGACAATATTCCCAACTTCCCCCGCTTCCCAGTCAAACCCATTAATCATGTTTATCTCTTCCTCTCCTTCCATGCAATTTCCACAATTTTTAACATTGTTTGTATCTCATATGCACAATCTGCATCACACCCCATCTGTTTACAAAGCAAATTTCACTCTCTATAAAACAAGGCAACAGAGGTGGCCTTAGGAGCATCGACGATTTCTGAGAGCTACAACATGATAACCATTTACCCATGCCTCACAAATTCTTCTCTTTCTCTCACCTTTGTCCTCCATTATTAACTGGGTTGTTCTCTCTTCTTCACACTTTCCTTGATTTTTTTTTTAGAAATCAAATTTCACATGATCTCTCTGTGTTGTTCTGCAAGTTTGAGAACAGTAGAACAAAAGAGGAGAAGTTGATTGTTTTGAGTGAATCTGGGCTTTGTAAAAAAAAGCTTAATTTAATGCCACAAGATTTAACAAATAAAAGGCTGCTTGCATAAAAAAACTACTTCTAAACTAGCTAGAATCCTATGTGCCAAGGATTCTTAAGAAACTTATAATACCAGTAACAACAAAAGGCATGAATGGTGAGGGTTTCTTTTCTTATTTTTATCGAAGATCAAATTCAATAAGTTTGTTTTTCTGAAATTTTGTGTGCAGTTGCTCTAGGGGTTGGTAGGACAGGGTGGCAAAGTGGGGGTGTGAGCATTGAGGTGGGAGACTACAGGATGGACATGGAGGTCATGTGGTAGAGCCATAGAGGTGGATGAACACAAGTAAATGTTGTGCATTTAAAACCATATGATGGCAATGTAAGTGAAGTTTGGAACTTCCTTTAGTTTTGTTTATAGAGTTTAAGACACCTGTGAGCAAATTAATAATAACCATCCAATGTCAGCCCTTGCAAAATCCTCCATCTGTGTAAGGGGTACTGGCATGATCCGCATTTAGCTAACGTTGCCCGGGCATAATATAATAGCAATAATTTGGCTCTCTTATATAAAAGGGCATGAGATCAACAAATTTAGAAGAATAACCACAACATATTGAGAGTAGTTCTGAGATGAACTTGTACATGTTTGTGGATAGTCTCTATATCAATAGCCAAAAACAATTAGGACCTGAATGGTTCATGCCAATACCAAGTAAATGAGGTATCCCCCACCGATACATTGGCCACTAGAATAATGTGGACATGGGCCCCATACTCTGTAGAGTCTTAGTGAATAACGGCTTTTATTTAATGATGAAGAGTTAAAAAAATGATGGTACAGCATTGTTATTGAAAAAACCTAGCCACAAGTACTTAAATACACATTTTGACTGTCTTTGGTGACCTCAATCTTCACAGGTTCTTCCAAATGATATGTTCTCCATCAGTTGCATTTAATCAAGATAATAGTTACTGCTTTTTCCTTTTCATGAAAACTTTACAAAAAGATTCACCAATTTCACCAAAGCCTCCAAATAAAAATCAATCCTATGTTTCTTTATTCAAACAACCTTCACAATCTTTCACCGAGGAAATCTCTGATTCTATTCTCGAAAAAAATGTGACTTTTTATGAGGAAGGCTATATACTTTACAAAGGAGATGTCATCTCTTATTTTCCTTTAGATGTCACTTCCTCTATCAAATCAAAGAGCGGTTATTCAACATCAGGAAAGACAGTAAGCCAAGGAAAGGAAGAACTGGAAGTGCGCCTATGGCAAACCCTCCTTAGAAGTGATAAGGGAGTTTATAAGATCCAGATGGACATTGAAGGGTATTTTGAAGTAGGGCCGATTGATCCAAGACACATACTTATCAGATTTCAGCTACAAGAAGATTATGTGAAAATCTGACTGAAGGATGCTACCTTAATAGAGGACTATCTCTTTCGCTTCTTTAAATGGTTTCCAGGATTTGTACCAAGCATTGAACCTTCGACAGTTCCGATGTGGATATCTTTATCAGGTTTGCCTTACTTACAGTTGATAGTTAGCCCGGTAGGAAGGGTTTTGGCTTTTGATCAAGCTACTCTTATTCTTTCAAAGCCGGGGTAGCAAAGGTTTGTGTAGAGGTTAGCCTTGTAGTAAAAAAACCGTCCAGAAAATGATTGGGTGGTGAGGATGCTAGATGGCTAAGGATTGTCTATGAGAAGAACAAGAAATATTGTAAGTCTTGTAGGAAACAAGGCCATGACAAGGAGGAGTGCAGAAGAAGAAATCAGTGTCTTTGGTGAAAAAGGATGGAACCACAACAATCACAGATGTGAGAGAAAAAGCGGAAGAGAACATGAACCAGCGAAAGGAAAAAAGGAAGGCAATATTGATACAGGGTGCTGGAGGAAATCATGGGACACATTCATAGCTGGAACATCGAAAAGAACAAGAACGCTCAAGGCATTCCAATCAGCTCCAACAATGAAAAGGAGTGTGGATCCAACAGTCGAAGGAGAATGGCGATGGGAGTAAGGAGGATGGTACATCTTTGACTACTATGAGGGTAGGACATCAAGCGGTGGGGCCAAATACAAAGGAGATAGAGCAAGATAATCCAGGCCAATCCATACTAAAGGGCTTCGGTTATTCACAGAAAATCTCCGAGGTAATTGCTTAAAGGATTCTGGTGGGGAGTTACAAATTAGCAATCCTCACAAGGTTATGAGAACTTCAAATTATGAGAAAGTTTTGAACATGGGTTTGCTAATGGAAGATCTATTCCTGATTACATCTCTTTGGCGCAATTATTAGCGAATGACTTGACAGAAAAAGTGGAGGGAGGTAACAAGATTATAAAATTAGATATGATGAAAGCATATGATCGATTGGAATGGAATTTCTTGTTTGCTGTCTTGAAATCCTTTGGTTTCTCTGAGAAGTTTATAATTTTGATTTCAAATTGCATGAGGAATCAGTTTATTTTCTATTTCTTTTAATGGAGAATGAATTGGTTTTTTTCCTACATCTCATGATCTTAGTTAGGAGGATCAATTATCACCTTCTCTTTTCATTATTGTTGAAGAGGTTCTCAATAGAGGCATTTTTGAATTCTATAGAAGAGGATTGGTTAAGAATTTTTACTTGGGCTGAGGAAGCATTCCAGTCACGCACCTTCATTTTGCCGATGATACGTTACTTTTTCTTCGTAGAAATAAGAGATCATTTTCGAATATTTTGAAGTCAATGGCAATGTATGAAGACTCTATCTATACAGAAAGTGAATAAACTAAAGAGTTCTATGTATTTTCCGTCTAAATTTCCACATGCTAGGAATAGTAGGTTAACTGCTATGTCTGAAATTCATTGTAGATCAGGTTATATTCTTTATTTGGGATGTCCATTGATCAGAGGGAGAACCAAGAATATATATTACCATGAGATTATTCAGAAGTTCAGGTCCAGGGTGGAATGGTGGTTTGCAAAACTCCTTCCTAATGCTAGCAGATTGGTGATGATAAAAGCAGTTTTAAATGCAATTCCTACAAGTCTGTTGGCATGCGTGAATTTGCCAAAGGGAGTTCTAAAGATTCTGCATTCTATTATGTTTTCTTTTGTGTGGTCTAACAAAAAGGATGTAAGAAAATGTCATTGGATTACTTGGAATGATGTCACCTTGCCATTGGAAGAAGGAGATCTGGTATAAGGAATTTCATGGATGTAGCTTCAGCTTTTAGAATGAAGCAGTTGTTGGATATTTTGAAAGGACATTCATTATAGGCGAAGGTATTAGCAGCAAAATTTTTAAGGAATGAACATCTGCTTCGCTTGTCAATGACTGCAAAACTGAAAGGTACTGGGATTCTCTAAGAAACTACTGGGTGGTGTAACAATGGTGGATTTTTTGGTGTGACAATTGGTTGGCCAGTCGTTCTTTGATATTAAGGGTGGATGCAAGGCCAACCTATTTTCCAAAAGTCACTGATTTATTAATTGGTATTATATGGTAGTTGGATGTAGTGAGAAATTTAGTGAATGAACAGTTAATGGAGGAGATATTGAATTCGACGGTTGTTGTGTCATGTAGAGAAGATCTTATTAGTTCTTACTTGGGCTTTAACAAGTTCAGGCTCTTTTTCTATTCATTTGACTTCGGATTCAGAACAAGAGGAAAAACTGATGTAGTGACAACAGCTATATGAAAGCAAGACGCTTCGCCTTCAGCAAAATTTCATGCATGGAAGATGCTAAGGCAGGCCATTCCAAGTGATGGCAGGTTAAGAGGGATTGGAGTGGTTGTATCAAGTTGGTGTGTACTGTATAAACACGATGAAGAAAATTTTCAACATTTATTTGTGGGGTGTAGATATATTTCATGGATATGGACAAAAGCTTCAACTGCTATGGGTTTTTCTTTAGTGAACAGAGAAGAACCATTGGTGAGATTTATGAGAATAGTAAGAACATAAAAAAGACAACTGCTAGAACATATTCTTATAAGAAGCTTTTCTTTACTGTTTTTACTGGGACATATGAAAAGAGAGGTGTAGAATGGTGTTTGATGGTACGCGGCTTTCTCCAGGTAATATACTTACCAAAATTTTTAACTCTTTATAGATGTTAGCTAAGGTTAGCTGTAAGGGGTGACTTACAGGACCAATTAGTGTTGTGGCATTTGAATATCCAAGTTCCTTCTCCAACTGTGATTAAGGACACCAGGGTAAGAACCATAAGATGGAGTCCTCCTCCATAGGCTGGCTTAAAATAAATATTGATGGGGCATCCAAGGGAAATCCAGGATTTTCAGGTGTTGGCTTAAAATAAATATTGTAAGCTGTTGGTTTTATTTAATTTGTAAGCTGCATGCAATTTTAATTTTATTTTCTTATTCTTTCAAATGATTCATTTACGGGGTAAGGCTCAGTACATCCCCCCCCCCCCCCTATGTGTAATCTTTTTGAATTAATAACATTACAAGAAGTTAGGGCTAAAGACTGCAAAATTTATGCTGGTTCTTGGGAAATTGTAAATTATACCTTGTTGGAAGTAAAATTCTTACTGTTCTTCCCATGAAATAATCCAATATTTGGCTTTCAATTCAATAATTCTAACATCATACATGTTAAACAAACTTGTAACTGTTAAGATTTATGTAATTGTAAGGAATATGCCTATGGGTTCGTCGCCCAAAGGCCTGAGCACATCAATGATAGAATTAAATAAAATAAATGATGGAATTTAAGAAGGAGATCGTACGGACCAGGTGGTAAAAAGCTTGAGGAATTGTGCGATTGCGAAAGCGAGAAATGCGGTGAGCAGAGGAAGGTTCGACGGGAGGAGTGAAGCCGGAGAGGACGACAACGTCGTCATTCGGTTGCTGGACGACGCATCGCCTACAGTGATCACCTCGTCCATCAATCGCGTCGAACTCGAATCAAGCAATTCCTTACGTGATTGATCCCAACTGCAGATTAGTGGTCACTGTTCTCTCCCTCTCTCCTCTTTGCGTGTCCTTTACTTTTCTCTCTCTCTCTCTCTCTCTCTCTCTTTATGTCTGCCCCTGTTGTATGAGCCAAGTGACTTTCAGACCCATTAACGACGCTGAAAGCGGATGGGACTCGGATTCTTCAGACCACTACCCCATTTTCTCTTATGGACATTAATGTTTTTTTTTTTTTCCAACGGCTCAACGAAAATATCCTTCGTGTTAGTTAACCTTGACTGCTAGGTAAGCTTGGTTCTCCGGACACAGTAGGCAGCGGATCGATTATGACAACAATAGACTTTTATGTAATATTAAGTGTTGCACACGACCATTATATGTGAATTATTTTTTATAATAATTTTAATTTTATATTTATTATATTGGTATATAGATTAATTTATTTAGAACTTAAACAGTATTAAAAATTGCTTAAAAATGTGATTTTTTTGTAATTTATGGATTTTATTTTATAATTTAATTATAAATATAGTAAAATACATTGACAACATACCCACACGTATCTACCATAACAATCTCCTCTTTCAAAGTTTAAAAATAATAAATGATCAAACTAATTTGGTCTAGTTTATTTGGCAATCCTGCAATCTCTTAACACTAAATTAGCTAAGAAGTCAAACAGACAATTCTTCTCAAATGTAAAACTTAGTTTTTTATGTCGCCCTTTTTTAAAATTTTATTATGTCTTATTTCGAGTTTTTCTTTAATTCTCTGTAAATTTTTTGTTCTTTTATATAGGTAGATGTATTGTGCTAAACCTATAATATTGATTCACCAATGTATACTCCTATTAGATGAATTCACAATTTTATTTATCAATAATATTTTTTAATGTGAAATTATCACTTGACACATTGGTACATATGTGTGTTGCATGTAGACAAATTTAATTTATAGTGGTGATATTATTTTTTTCATTATGTTGAAATAATTAAATATACAGATAGAATCAAAGTAAATATCCTTTGATACTTGTTGTCTATATATATTATATGTTGCTATGTGTTTCAATCACAAAAAATCTTCTAAAATTTAGACTACATGCTAAATTAATTATTTCAAATATTGATTGATCACCCCATGAATAATGGAAGGTTGATTGAGACTATACATTTTTGTGTGATAAATTTATTATACTTGCTAAGAGTTCATAATCATTGGTTGCATGAATTACGGTGATACAAACTTTGCGAAATAAAAGTTTAATAAAATCACCACAAAAGATATTATATTTTTTATAATAGAACACTAGATAATAGGATAATCAAGTAAATCATTATAACAGCTTTCAAATATAGATTAAGAGCAATCTGCAACTTTAAGTTCCATAAAAACCAATAAATAAATAGTAGACGTAGGGATTGAAATTTTGAGAATTTCACAGGACCAACTTATTTCTAGTTAAAAAATTTAATTTTAAATTCATTGTTAGATTTACCTAAATAAATAAGATATTAGTAACTGATGAAAAATTCAAAAGTCCGATTTTTAAAGGGTTTAACTCTGTATAAATTTCATAAGTCATTGTTATAACTTGATATTTACTCTCAAGAACTCTTAATATTTGTTTGCACTATTTCTAGGATCTATAAGGTCTACAATATTAGATAAGTTATAATACATATTAGATCAACAAAAAAATTTAGTTTTATATTATGAATTCATAAAAAAAAAAAAAAGAAGAGAGGAATCAATTAGAGTAATATTTGGATTAAGAATAATATGAATTTTATATTATTGTTAAATCACATTTACGAAAATTATAGTATAGACTTTATTAAATTGTGCTGGGATAAAATTAGAAAATAAATTTTTTTATTAGTGACTTTTATGAATTGTATATTGGTAATCATTGAATCTGTAGGTTAAGGGTACAAAGAAAGTCAATTTTTTATGATTTAAGCTGTAAGTGTTCATATATTTATTTAATGACAAAATAAAAGCTCAAAAAGTTTTAAATGAAATTAGTAGTGTGAGGTATAATTATCTTTATAATTTTGTTTTACAGTAGAAGAGGAACTCAAAATTTTTTCATCTAACATACTTTTATTAGTGGTATAGATATAGATAATAAAGAGTCACTTTGCGGATGTCCGCCTCTCCTCTAATTTTTTTTCTAGCATATTCAACTGAGAGCCTTCTAACTCATGTTATAATATAGAATATAGATTCTCAAACATGACTCGACCATTTATTATCGCTTTCTCCGAAACTTGATAAGGAAAAAGAAAATTTATAACAAAATTTACACTTGTTAAGATTAAAATATTTGATAAATATATTATTACTTAACTTCATTGAATTGCTAAGGTTCAAACGTTTGAATTTATAACTCATTTTAATACCACTTTAGGTATCATTTGAATTTAATACTTTTATATTATAGTTTAAATTATTTTAATTGATTTTATATTATGGATGAGAATATAAAGTGAAACAAAGGTATTAGTTGCGCCATAACAAAAGCATCAACTCCCAAACCACCCAAATCTTTTCTCCACACAGCAAACCCTGTTTGCAACTCTTTTCATTTACAGTGCCTCCTAGCTTCTACCTGCTGCGCCACCTCCTACCACCACTTGAGCTTCATGGAAGCCTAAAATGTAGATTGAAGAAACTCAGTAACAATATATTTTATAGATGTGACCTTCCATCAACTTCAGACAGTAATGATGGAGATGAACCACTATGTTTGCTGGGGAATGGCGTATTCCTTCGCGACTGGCGTTTTGTGGGGACGAGGACAGGTTCCTCCTCGTACTCTTCACTGGCTGCATCACTATCACTGTCATCTCCACCCTTGAAGACTGGGTGGATGTATGCCCTTTGAAGGTAATCTTTCAAGTTCAGGTTTGGCTCCTTCGTACGTTCCACAGTATCTTTCATCATCGCTTCCTGAAAGATAAACCACGGTAAGTTGTTTTCGCGCAATAATATAAAATCACGACTTTGTGTGTTCGAACACAAGGGCAGCCAATCTGCGCAATAATAACAAAGCTTAGTTCAGCACCCAATCCATCCTTACCAGACCAGCGATCTGATTACCGGGGACCAAACTGAATAACGACCTTTTAATGACAATAATAAAACAACAAAGCAGCAGAAAGAGAGAGAACACACCTGCAATGGATACCTAACAAAAGCTGGTTCATAACGACCTTTGCAGAACATATGGAACGAGATGGTCAGCACCGGGAGTGTGATCAGCAATGGAGTTGACTGAGAAGCTGCTTTTGTACTTAACAGTCCCATTAGAAGCAGCTGTGAGACAATCAATGCAGCTATGATGCGCCCATGGACATCAGGCCAGAATGCAGCAGCACTCTCGTACTCCTGATTGTAGACATTTATAATCTACATGTTGATTCAAAAATGCTATCAGAGCAAATTTTCCTCAAGAAACCCAACTTAACACCAAAAGGTTTCTAGTGGAATGACACACTCAAACAATGTCAGATCAACCCTGCAAAGTAAAGGACACACTCATGGACACCGATGGATTTGTCAATACAATCAAGTCCTATCCGATTGGGCACATACAATCCAAAAGTAGCAATACGATCACTCATTTTACTCCTCCCTTATGACATTACTAATATAAAGACAAACAAAACTCTATTAGAACTAGGATGTGATAATACAAGGCCACCATTACAATAGCAATTTCAATGGGCATATGTGATTCACATTGCAAATTACCTGAAGAGTCACAATCGTAGATTAAACACACACAGCGAAAACAGGTGAAAAGACATTTTAGTGAAGGCAAAGCCGAAGTAGATGTCCATATGTTTACATGTGAGTAGCAGCAATCCCACATATCCATGTTGTGAACAAATATCTCAGTTGTGCCAAGCAATGGAAATGATATCATTACAATAACAGGGGAAACTAAGATGCCATTGTGTACAAATATATCTATTGTACCTCTCTTTCTCTCTCTCAATCTTTACCATTCTGTCCACAAGTTCACTATTGCAACATATATTTCTCGCCCCTTTATGTCGTTCCACCACCAGTTCATCCTCAGCACTGTCCATCTCCAGAAATATAAGTTGTGACATGCTCTGTCTTTCAAACTGTATGCTTATAATGTCATTTTGGTACCCCTTTTTTCTCCCACTTTTTCTTTATCCCATTAGTATTCCTGCTAAAAATTTGTCCATCTTTACAGCAAAGTTTAACTATTCTGATCAAAAGTTTCTGATGGATTCTAATTTGGGCGTTTTCTATGTTTTATCCTGGACATTTATTTGATATTGATTGTGGTTGGTAAATCGAGATTATTCATGTTATATGGGGAAGTCCAGGGATGGAGAAGACAGGGTGGAGATGTGAAAGGAGGTTGTCTAGGTCAAGCATGGTCAGGAAATGGCTACCCTGTCCTCTACCCCATCAATTGTCGACTCTACATGCAAATGAGATATAAGATATAAGCCATACATTGCAATTTGCAGATTAATAGGCACTACCCTATGTCACTAGCTCTTATATCACGAATGCAGATGACATTTACCTGATGGCGATAAACCACATATGCCAGGCCAAAGAATACTATTATGAAAGGAAGTAAAATTGGGGACACAACTGCATAAACAAGGCCAAGCAGAAAATAAAGCTGTATTTGAGGTTCTCCTGTGTTGAAACCAAGGCTTCCCGGATCCATTGCCTCTTCCCTATCCTTCTCTGTCTTCACCATGAAGAAATTTTTCAAGTGATAGATTATCAGTGGTCTCAGCCTCAGAATCTCCCCTGCAACTCCAGCCCATCCATCCACCATTATGTAGGTTATAAAGAAGGTCGCTTTCATGGGGATAGAGACACCAATTGTCTTTGGGATACTGAAAAGGAAAAAAAGATAACTCATTGCTCTATAAAACAAAAGCATACAATCAAAGATCATTGATAAATGAATTTGTGACAACCCACCAAGTTCCATCTGTTAAGACCTCTATTTCCAGTTTATGTCATGAACATCATAGTTAAATCCCTTATAGAGAACTAATGGTTTTCAAAGCCATTTTGTCCGACACATAAAATGGCCAATCTGAACTAAAAATCTTGATATTTTATATTGATGCAGGAACAAATCAAGGCCGCCTATTTCATTGCCTCAAAAAGTGAGAACTAAAGGTGCATTCTGCTTTCTAACCCTCATAGAGAGTCATATCTTTTAGTACTATCACAGGGAAAGAATGAAAGAATACCTAAATTCGTTCTCATTTTTGCAGTAGCAAAAACGATAGCATGAAGCCAACCAGATAGTAGAATAATACAAGATACGTTTTGAAGCAGTGATATCTCCCTTAGGTTGCATAAAGCAATACCTCACCAGTCACCAATTTCAATTATAAGTCAAGTTGACCAAACTGTTAAGAGTACCCAACCCAAAGCCAATTGGCAATGGGTGGAGTGGGCCCTCAAATATATAGATCAATATTAGTGGTCATTTTTTGATGTGGGAAACAGGCTCTTTTAATACCCTCCCTCATGTGGACCCAGGCTCGCATGTGGGATCAATAAACAACCATGCATACCAAAAAACTACTGTTCCAGATACCAACACATCAACCAATTTTGTGTCAGTGCATGCTCGATTAACTCATTTGTCTTAAGATGTGAAGGGCCTCACGGTCAACTCTTTTTAGTTTGGAACTTATTCGAGATATAAGGGGAAGTCATATCTAAGCCTCAAAAAAGCGAGGCTTAGATATCTTAAGGGGAAGTAACTCTTTCCCACGAACTTTGTTACTTCTGACAGGGAATGATTATGGTACAATATTTTAATTTGTAGTTGATCTCAACTCGAGGTCGGGGGAAGAGGGATCACCACACCAAGATTATCAACACAATCACATTCCATTCTATAGGAAGAGGGATCTCATTCTATAGGCTTGTAAGTAGGATCTAACAATGGATATGACAAAAGATGTAGGTGAAAGATGAAGATCATGTAACCTACAACAGAGGAGCTTATTGCAAAGACAAATGTTATTCCAAAGATGCATTAATTTCCTAACGTTCCAAAGACACAATGATACTCATATCATGAAGCAAAGAACGAACCCACAACATCTCATACGCAATATAAGCCAGGGCTTAGTATTCAGCCTTTGCCCTAGGACGTGCAACTATATTTTGTTTTTTACTGTGTCAAGTAACAAGATTAACACCAATAAATGTACAACAACCCGATGTAAATCGTCTATCAACATGACTGTCTGCCCAATTAGCATCAGAAAAACCAGCAATAGTCATGGAGGATGAAGGACAATATAACAATCCTTTGCCCGATGCTCCATTCAGACATCAGAACATACAACAAACTGCCTCCCAATGAGGCTTACTAGGAGAATACATGAACTAACTAACCACGTTAACTACATAGGTAATATCAAGACGTGTAACTCTAACATAAATCAGCTTACCAACCAACCTCCGATAGCTTTCTACATCATCAAAAACTTCAACAGTCTCACCATCTAGCTTAACTGTAGAGTCCATAGAATTATTAACTAGTTGTGCACCAAGAGTACCAGTTTCAACCAATAAATGCAATACCCTCTTTTGCTGGCACAAACTAATACTTTCTTTTGACCGAGCAACCTCAATCCCAAAAAAGTACCGAAGAAGATCTAAGTCTTTGATATGAAACTACTTTTCCAAATGAATCTTGAAGTGGGCTAGACCATCTAAATCATTACCATGAATAATAATGTCATCAATGCACACAATAAAAATAACAACACCAACAAAAGAACAACGAATGGTCTGAGGTAGAGCGTTGACAACCATACTCAAGTGCAATAGTATTATACTTGTCAAGCCAAGCACATGATGATTGTTTTAGATCATTTAGTGCTTTCTTCAGATGACACACTAATTGTTTCTTACCAGATACAACATAACCTAGAGGTTGTACCATAAATACCTCCTTTTGTAAGACTCAATGTAAAAATCCATTTTTGATGTTCAGCGGATATAAAATTCAATCACAACTAACAACAACATAAATAAGAACTCAAACAGGATTAAGGCGAGCAATAGGGGAAAAGAGTCTCAGTAGAATCAGGTGATGGCTTGGCTGTAGAGCTAGAGTATATGGAACAACTTGTCTATGTTGGGAATACTAATAAACCTGTCATGGAGGAGTAGTAATTGGGGAGGAAGGAGATATACAGTCTGGTACAATAGGCAACATGACCTTCGCTTGAATAGGAAAAATTAAATCGGGTGACCGAGTATGTCTCACCTCATAAAAGAATGAGGACGATTCAAAGAAGGTAACATCAACATAATATCGGCGAGAAACAGGATCATAGTAACGTTAACCTTTTTGAGTATGAGAATATCCCAAAAGGCTCACTTGACTGCGCGGGGATAAAACTTATCCCAACTCGGACCAAGAATATGAACAAATGCAACACAACCAAAGACACGCGTACTGAGACCAATAAGGATACAATAACGAGAAAGGAGACTTATTGTCCATACCAGGGGAAGGCATGCGATTAATAAAATAAATAGAAATAAGAACCACATTAGTCCAATATGGTTTTGACACATGCATGTTAAACATTATGATGCGAGTAGTATTTGATAAATTACAGTACGTACGTTCAACGACACCATTTTGTAGGGAGGTATGTGGACAAGTGGTTTGATGGATAATGTCACGGTCATAGCAAAAATTTTTTATAAACAATTAAGTATACTTAAGGGCATGTCAGACCAAATAACTTTGATACATAAATCAAACTAAACCAGGATCTCAATGTAAAAGGTGGTAAAGACCTTGGTAATTCAGAGCAATATTTCATAAAAAATAACCAAGTTATACGCAATAAATTATCAAAAAAGATTACAAAATACTAAAAACTAAAAAGACTTTTGACTCATGCAAGGCCCTAAACGTCTGTATGAACAACATGAAAAGAAATAGATTGATGACTTGAAGGAGGAAAGAAATTGCGGTGATGCTTGCTTAATTGACAAGCCTCACGTTCAAACACTAAAGAAGAACTAAAACCGGGTATAACTTAACGCAACGTTTGCAAGAAGGGATGACCTAGTCAAAAGTGTCACTAAAGAGGGGACCATAGCACTCAAGGCATGAATAGGACCACCAACATCCAAGTAATAAAAGTCATTGTGCTCATACCCTACACCAATCACCTTTTTGTCTTGAGGTCCTAAAAAATACGGAAAGATGGAGAAAACATTACTGAACGTTGTAAGGACTTAGATAACTGACTCACAGATAACAAGTTAAAGGAAAAGCTAAAAACAAACAGACCAAAGTTTAATATCATAGACTGAGTCACTGAGCAGGCCATTCCTATGTACGAGTCAAAAAGAATCGTTAACTAGTACCACAATACACGAGTTAGATGAACAAAAATTAGAAAATATGGAAGAAATATGAGACCACAAGGGGCTAGCCAAGTGGTAGTTCAGCCACCTCATAAAGCTAACATAAGGGATACGTTAGGGGTTCGAATATCCCACGAAACATAGCCTCTTAGGATCACTGCCCATAGATTTATCCCTTTGTGTGGAGAGGCAATTTTGTACAAGGTTCAACATTAGTCCGATACGTGAGCAGGGAATACCGTAGTTATCTATTGGGACAGTTGGAAAATATAAAAAAATAAAAAATATGGAAGAAATATCAGACATATGAGTCCTAGTTCCCGAATCAATGACCCAAAATCTATGAAGAAGGTTGTACAGCCACACATACAAGGTTACTGCCATTAGCAAGACTAATAGTTGGAACACATAAACGTATGAAAAATGAAGATAACAACCGGATGAGTTGTTGAAGCTGGGAAGCAAAGAAGAAAGATCATATGAAAAATCAGTTGTAGATGCAACTGGAACATTGGTAGAGGTCTGATGCAGTCAAGAACCTAAAGTATCATTAGAAGCCTGATTAGCATATGCTAGTCTCCCATACTTATCCCAACAGTAGTTCTCAATATGTCCCATGCAACCACAATAATACACTTTCACTCGTAGCCATGACAACAACCAAAACGACTACCATTACTATCTTTCAAAGTCACCTTAAGAAATCCACAAATTGATTATGCACCATAAACTTGCAACAAACACCAACAACCAACCCCAAATAGAACCAAACAATGCAAAAACAATCAAACCATTGAGAAAGAAGGCAAAACTAAGCTAAAAACTGTCTGAACAAAATGAAATTGGTGAAGGCAACCCCTAAACGAACCAAACATAGCAAATAACAATCAAACCACTGAGAAAGAAGGCAAAATTGAGCTAAAAACCATCTGAACATAACGAAATTGGTGAAGACAACCCCTAAACGAGTGAACCAAGCCTTAAATTAGATAGAATAGGTAGAAGCGAGGCTGATAGCCACTGAACCAGCCTAAAAAACCATGGAATAGATGTTAGAACACCTTGAACCCTCTTGTCGCAATGGTGTGGGGCGTTAGAGGCTGTTGTCCCGTGGCCAACTGTGTTGAAACTCACTGACCTAGACCCAAACAACACACGAAAATAACATTTCATCATTGTTTGGGAGTGGTTCGATCCTGAATAGAAAGAGAGAGTGAGGGAACGACTTGAGTAGCTTCGTCTTCCTTAATATGTCGTTTGAACTAAAACCAAACCCTAGCCACCACTGTTCACAACGACGGCGAGCTCACTCAATCAACAAACACTCCAGTGATTTGAAAGCAACTTCTATAGAAGACAACGATTCAAATACCCATCTCTGACCTAACAACGGTGCAAGCAATCAAGAATAATCAACAAATTGGCAACGACACCACCTGACTCCGACGACTATGCCAGCTAAGCGAACAGAGAGTAACCCAAGAAAAAGAAAAAAAAATGATATTTGCTAATTAGAATCAAGCAACACAAACTCTGCAACAACTACTATTCAACTCAACGATGCACTACATCTGTCCTCAATGGCAATTACGGAGCTCTATATCACCCTTCTAGAGTTCTATGTTTAGACCATCACAACCTCAACACACTCAGATTCTTGGACCTCAAAAACATGAGACAAGGAACATATGGACAGAAGCAAACCCTGGCAACTTGCTCTAATACCAAGTTGAATCTCAAATAATCAAGTATTAGGGTTTGGATTTAGAAGAGAGAGAAGGAAAAAAGAGATTGAAAAAAAATGTGTATAGGCTAGTGTTTCTCTACACCTTCTTATTTACAACAAATGAGTGAATTACAACATAAACTACTAATAATAAATAAGAATTCTAACAATTTCAACATAATCTATCCTTTAAATATATTTTTGTTGTTGCCGTATTAAATACAAAACAACAAAATGTGCATTGGCAAAAAAAATAAATAATTTCCTTGCTTATTTGTAGGGAAGCATCTGTGTACATCAACAATTACAACAAACAGAATGGAAACTAATAACTATGCTTTTCTATACTGTGTAAAAATTATCACTTTTTAAGGATTTCTAGAAAATTCAAAGAAATCCTTGCAACATATCCTGGTCTTCACTAGTGCATACAGCAAAATCCCTATCAATATTTGGAAGTGATTTTCAATAAGTTATTGCTTGACAAGTATGTTTTGAAGAGCTCAAATGTCATACAACAAAGGTATTGGAGAAATATTGGTCATATGCCTTCCTACAGAAGCTTCAGTAAGTTTCATCCAAACGAAAAAATGAGTCAAGGGTGCAACTAATAACAGGAACTCTAAGAATTGCATATGCCTTTTAAAACTACAGCAGTTTGTGCAATCAATGTCAGGAACTAGAGTTACTCTTCATTGATCAGGGTTTCTTAATATTACTGCAAAAGCCCTGTATGCATTTTAGTTCGAAACAGAGTTAATTCAAAGTTATTTTTCACTTCAATTTTTACATAAATACTATGCGAAGAGCTCTCATTAAAAAATTAAAGTACAACAAAGGTTGGTTTATATATTTGAGTGGTCACTCCAACCATTGCTAATTAGTTTTTTGGCTATACGCTCTAATATTGCATCAGAGTTGGTCTTGGGTAGTTGGTGGATCAAGTCCCTCATCTGGTTGAATTCCCCGATGTGTTTATTTGTCTGTTTCCAATAAGTTCCAGTTTATTCTTTTGTTAGTTCCAATTTGGTTTATTAGCCTTAATGGGAGCCCAAGTCGTTCATGAGGGAGGGTGTGAAGAGAGTTTTTATCCCACATTGGTACATCTAAGTTTGGTTTATATACTTGACGGGTTAGTCTATCCACTGCCAACTGGCTTTGGGTTGGATGCTCTAACATACTCATTCATACATAACCCAAGGTTAAATGAGCTCAAATTTAGTGATATTGCAAAAAAAAATTAGTGGAACAAAAATGCATCTTAGGCAGCCATTCTACTGGCCTTAATGCAACCATGGGAATACCAATTCTGCTATAAAGAATAGAAGAGATTAATAAAGATAAATAATGAACAATAGTTGAGCATCATAAATGATTTTAAAGAACTATGCAGCTTCTAATGATATAAGATAATAAGATAGTTTTAAGATCATGATGATACCTTAGCCAAGTTTTCAATCTTATCCAGAGATTATACATAAAACAAAAGCTTCCATTAATCTACAATAATGGCAATAACATATTGATAGATTCTCTATAGTTCATCTGTCATGTATAAAATAATAAGGAACAGTGGATGTTCAAGAACATACTCCTTTGCAGACTGGTGGATAAATTTATTTAGTTGTTGAAATGCAGTTCCAGTGATGATGCTCCCAAGAAACACATTGATGAACTGGAAAATATAATATCTAGTTGCAGATCTCCTCTCAAGAGCTGATATGGAGCTCAACCCTTCGAATTTAGACATTAGCATCAATATCGAGGGTAGAAAGATGAGAAAAATCTTCAAGGCAATTCCTGGAAGAAAACCTTGGATGAATGACTTGATGAATTTCCTGCATGAAGAACAGTGCTTCAGCATATGTAGGTGCCAGGAAGTTAGAAAGATAAAAAGAAATGGAAGCACATAATTATGCAAGGTTCAGAGCCACTATGAATGATACCGTCTCAGTAACATAACACTATTGCCAAAAGAATCCAAGGAAAGATTACATGACACTGCACTTCCCTACTAAGTTAAAAACAGACTTGGCCTAAAATCCATAGGGAAATTCCATAAAATTGGACTGATGTCACCTCAGAAATAAGATAACATAAGCAACTGACTTTTCTGGCATACGAAAACAGGTTTTTCGAACACACAAGTCAGTTATTGAATCAATAGATACTACATTACACCACCACGGAAATAAGATGACAATAGCATCGATTTGTATGGCATAAGAAAACAGATTCTCTAAACAGAGTGAAAATTAATTCTATCAGAAGAACATCAGAAAATCTTCAGGTGCTGATGGCATCTCTCCCATAATGTTGTGAAGAAAAGGGAAACAATTCAAAAAATCAATGTCAATAAAGCAACAAAATATCATATTTACCACACATCTTTTCTCAATTAACAGGTCCCAACACTGTCTAATGACCATTGTATAAATAAAGAAAAGCAAAGGAGTATCTAGTGAACTCGAGTTTTGACGACGCATCGAATAGGAAGAAGGTGAAGAAGACAAAGAAAGAAACTCACAACTCAATTAGAGGCTTTAAAAAGGGAGCTGCCTTCTCTATTCCATCTATGTTAGCAAGGGACTGTACAAATGCAATGGGAATCATGAAGAAAAAAGGTAAGGAAAAAGAACACAACAGCAATTATAAGCCTTCTGATTGAGAGTGAAACATAGGGGATCGCCAAGTTATCCCAGTAAACATCATGGGGCTCTGGGGCCCATTCAGTTAACCATTCGGTTGGATTTCTCGATTGTTGAGTTTGTGCACAAACAGCAGCCCCCCATCTTGATTTGAAGGAAACAAATGCAGCTGGCATGATCAATTTAGTGCTGCTGGTCATCTTATCTTTCTCCACAGATATCTGACATTCACATTCAGAAGAATCATAGTGAGTGAGAACTTTATGCCACCACAATATATGTAAAAGAAGAAGAAGAAGAAGAAAACAACAAATAAAAAATAATTTATAATGCATCATTCAATCCAAATAAGCAACTTGAGATGCAGTCATGTAGAAGAACATCGTTTTTGATCTGCACAAAAGAATATATATATACATATAAAAAAAAAAAGCAACAAATTTTACCAAGGCAAATGAGCAGGAATTCTCGTTCCAAATGCATATTCGTACACAAGAAGACTTTGTCCTTTCAAAATGCTGATCAAATATGACTATAACTAGAGGCTTTTGGCACACTCCTAGGTGACAATAAGAATACCATTGCTGATCTGGATCTTGAACACCAAGGAAAAGATAGAGATTTCCCAAATCATTTATTTTTTCAGTCATGTAAAGAGATTTCCAAAATTATTTAATTTTATTAAAAGGTGAGCATAGCTGGACTGCCATAGGCTCCAATATCATCAACTTAGAAGACTTGAGTAAAAGACAAAGACAGAGCTTCAAAGAATAGAAGCAATTTACAAGAAGGTCTAGTTCAATACTAACTTCTTTTGATAGTCTTTCGATCTCTGATGTATAGACATCAATTGCATCCACCTTCTCCCCCGAAATGCCAAGAAAACCAGTCTGCTTAATGAAAAACATTTTCCTGAGATTATGTTAGTAATTAAATGTAAGAAATAGCATGAAGAAATATCCATCTAATGTAAGTATAGAAAGCTAAACATAAAACATAACAGATGATCCTGACAAAATATACCTTCGTTGTTGGCTTTCTAAATTGATTTCTAGAATATTTCAGTTGATAGTAATCAAGCCAGTTCTGGTTTTTCTTCTTCTCATTGACTAGTGTTGATAGTTGGTTGGCATTGTATACAACCTGCACGCAAATCTCTAAGTATGATAATAACATACAGAAATCTTATTCCGTAAGTGCATGATCTGTTCATAACTGGCTACATAAGTGCATGCAGTACGAGAGGTAACATAATAGGATAATATAAATGATCAGTTCACTGTATAGTCATTAAACCTTGAAAAAATGAAAGAAATTCAAGACATTAGCTGTGCAATAAAATCAAGCTCAACAATCTAATGGTTTCAATCAATGAAAATTTGAAAACGCCGTTATGATCCCGACAACTTTCAGTAAAACCAGTTTATAAGCACCAGCTATTGGAGATATCATCTACTGTCCTTGGGGTGGATCCTGTATTCTAGACCTCAAAGGTTCAAATAGGGTATCCAAAATACACAAGGGTCTCCTGGGGGGTCAGATAGATGTATGTAGCCTTACCTAATGCCGGTTGGGGTCACAGGCCTTTCCTGGTGTTCAAACAGCATGATTTCTTGTAAGAAAGCTGTCTGACAGAGAGAATCTTCTAGTAAGATTGGAGAGAAAGAAGCCTTCTTTATATTCTAGCTACTTCTTATATAACGAATTGACGAGAAAGATTTCTAACTTAAAAGAAATTTACCAATAACAGTTAGTATTTTTCTCTGAATCTCTTCTAAATCAGGGCGTAGTGTTTTAAGATGTGCAATTCCACCACCAATTAACTAGCAAGCAGAAAAAGGTTTTCCAACTTGAAACGCCTGCCAGTTAGCTAAGATGAATCATAAATAACCCTGTAACACGTTGTACATTGACTACTTCTGTGTACATTTGAAACCACTTAGAACTATGCTCTTTCCCTTTCAATTTCATGTTGGATTTATCTGGTTAACTTAAGAAATTCATACCACAAAAAGGAGCTCGACAGTTAACAGTTTTTGGAAATTTTGAGCAATAAAACTTGTTTGCTCAAACTAAAGTCTCTTCTCTCTCTCTCTGTGGATGGACTGGTAAAAGCATGCAAGCTGTGTACATATTGATAAGAAAACCTTTAGCGATTAATGAGGTGTATGAATCAATTTCAATAGTAATAGCATTTATAAATGAAGCTTTGAAAAATAAAGAGCTGTAGCAAGATGAAACCTGATGAGTGAGATAATGATCTGGATGGTTGACCAGGAAAAAATGCTCCACAAGTTCACTAACTGATTCATCAGGATCTGGCGGCACATTTCTGACAAGTACCTATGCACAGTCACATACAGGTTCGCATGTTAGTAGTAGGACTCATTGAATTGAAAGGATATTTTGAAAGCAAGCAATTCACCAGCATAAGAAATCGTCAAGCCACTTTTCTAATGGAAAAAATTATGCAGTATCAATATTCCACATGGCATAAGAAAAGAGACAAAATGATAAACCACCACTAAAAATCCACCTTAGGAAATGAAACTTATTTTTGAAGGTAAGAGTGTAAGGTTCAACAAAGATTGACAAGAAGATCAGACTTAAACCAAAGAAAAGAAAAGCAAAGGAATGTACTAGCAAAATTTCATAATATAATAGCACACACAACAATAGATAGTTATGAAGCATTAAAGTATCACCAATACTTCAATGCTTAATTCAAATACTTAATTCATTCTAGAACTGCAACTCTATCAGTATGTTACTTCCACATGCAGTGATGCATATTTTAAATCCTTGAGAGATTCAAATACTTCCATTTAAAGGATACTCCATGGCTTGAAATAAAGACAGAAGATACTCAGCGCCGGCCCTAGGCAAAGGCCAATAAGGCAGGCGCCTGGGGCCCCAATATAATGTAGATATTTGGGGTCCAAAAAAAAATTTTAGGGCCTCTAAGTTTAAGACAATTTTGGGTACAAAGTGTGAACCAAATAAGAAATTGATACAAAAATAACGATTTTATATTTAGCCTTTGAAGATACGGGTGATCTATGAAGTATATTGGATACGACACTCGTTGAATACTCGAAGATACGTCTCAGATACACACCAAACGTATCCAATAATAAATAAAATATATGGATACTTCACGGGTACTTCTATCTGCAGAGAAGTATGTGTAATTTTTAGTTGTAATCTTTACCCCATTCCTTTTGATTTCATATAAAATGTAATACATTAACAAAAATTCATATGACTTGAAAGACACATGGGCGTTTTCCAAATATTATCTATTATCACATGTGTAAAGAGTTTAAAAAAGGTTTTTACTTTATAACCTTAGCAACAAATACTTCTAAGCAAACAATCTATATAATAAAACAGGAGTGTGTTTGAATTTTATCCCAGTCATATTTTCCCCTTAAAACTATTACCAATCACTTACCTCACGTATCATCCATTTGTCAAACTCAAACGTAAATCACATCATTCATTTCTATCATATATTTAATTATTTATATATTTCTTTCCTAAAAATATCACACTACTTATTTTTATCATATATTAATTATTTAATATTTAATTAATTTGTAGTTAATATATTTTGAAAAAATTTAATATAGTAGGATCGATTTTTTAGACGCTCGAATTTATATTTTATCGTGCCTTTAGGCACGGGTTATGACTAGTATAGTTATATGTTAGTTCTTATTCCTTTAATTAATCACGTTCACTTTGTAAATGTACCATAGTGAAATGATAGGTAACTTTTTGAAAATAAAAAATTATTAATGTTATTTATTATTGTTAAATAATCTTAAAAATTATAGCAATCAAATCATTATATAATAGTAAAAATATAAAATATATTTATAGACGTATTACGAACGTACCCGTATCATATTTTTTGGGATTTGTCATATTGTCTTATCCGTATCCATGCTTCCTAATGGGTGATAAACAAATGAACAAAATAGGCCTACCAAATACACTGGTCAACATAAATCTGATTAAATACAAAACAAATCTGCTAAACATGATTTTTATATAGTACAAATTCGACTATACAAGATTATAAATTGGAGTATAAATTGAGTCAATTCTGATACGACACAACTGAATAAATGCTTTTTTATTACCTTTATTTTTTCTATCTCACTGAAAAGATGAGTTATCTTAACACACAATACCTTATGTTAAGTGAGACTTTTGTCACGTTCCGCCTCAAAGAAAATTCCAAACAACTTTAGGATGAATTCTTTAATTTTAAGACCCCTTGAACGAATATTCTAGAGGATCCTAAAAATTATTTAAATAAGGAAAATTCTAGAATATACAAGGAATATAAGGATAAGTATAAGAAATACCTAAAATGTTCTTATACATATTAGAAGACTGGATATTTACACAAAAGATTCTAGAAACACCATATGCATTTATGGTAAGATGAAAGACATATATATTGGTGGGGATTTCCATATGCAAGAATCAAGCAACCAAGCCTTAACTTAACTTTGAGGTCCTTTTTGTTTGTGTTGAAGTTTTTACTTAATTATTTTTTCTTACAACACACAACAAACCCAGTTAAAAAAACAAAGTTGGTTGGAGGAGTTTACTATTCAAAATCCTAATAACATTCATCATTTGGAAAATTATTTTACTATATTAACAAATTTCAATTATATTTATCTATATTTTAACTGATAGTAGACTTTATTATATTTTAATTATAATTTTCTTAAAAAATAATATTTAAATTATTTTTTGAAATTAGGTAAGAAAATAAAAAATTACATAATTACCCTTGAGGTGACAATGCCTCTCATGGCAGCTTACTGGCAAATTGGGGGGGTCTCTTGATGCATGGCTTCCACAAAGATGCTTGGAATGCTTGACTCAACATTCTAGGGGTATAAGAGGGGAAGAAATCGGTTGGAAGAGAGAGAAAAAGAAGGGATAAACTAGAGAGAGAAACCTTCATTCTTAGATTTTTGATTTTCTTGTAATTTGAGCACTAAGAGATAAATTTCTAGACTAATTAGGATGCTAGGAACGTATTTAAGTAATTCGTTTTTGATTTGGTTAACTATATATGCATGAATTAGAGTTTAAAAATTTCGGGACTAATTAGGATGCTAGGAACGTATTTATGTAATTAGTTTTTGATTTGGTTAACCATATATGCACGAATTAGAGTTTAAAAATTTAGGGTTTAAGAGTTTCATGAAATGGGTTTTGAGTTTGGGATTGATTTGAGCTAATTAATTATTATGGTTGTATTTCTGGGAGGTCAAGGAGTTAGATGGTGTTTTTGAAGCTTGACATGACTAAAGATGAAGTTTCGGCCATGGTGAAAATCGATCTACATGGTTGATGTGTTTAAGCTTCGAATGAGGGTACCTAGCTAATTTGGACCTTAAGAATCTATTCATGGCCTCAAAAATGAGTTTCCAGGTCGTTTGGGTTGTCAAAATCGAAGTTGCAAGTTTGGCCCTATTTTGAAAACCTTATTTTTTTGTTAACTTTGACTAATAATTTGAAGGGCTTAAAGGATGATTCGAGGGCTATGCAACCTATGTGGTTTGATGGAGGTATATGTGATGAGTGTTGATTAACCCTAAAATAATGCGTCAATGAATTAGGTTATTAAGTTAATTGTGTGCGTAAATTAGGATAAAATGATTAAGTTAAAGAATATTAGGGTTAATGCCTAAATTGGACATTTTGAAGAGTTTCGTGCAGAAATACGAAAATTCAGGAGGATTAAAGTGTGCAAGCAAAATAAGGAAGGGGAGGCGAGTGCAATTACCAAACTATTACAACAAAGCAAGGGGCTACCAACATGCAAAATCCAGAGGAATGCTACCGTTCGGACGGTGGTGGCGGCATCCAGACGTTGCTGCAACCGCCTTATTTCTCTCTCCACTCCCCATTGGTCCAATTAAGCCAGGGTGTTTGCCGCCTCAAGCCTCCTTCCTATGCTTATAAATACCCTACTTCAATCATACTTCAACCATTTTTTAGGAGGAATGGAGGAGAGCTCAGTCCAAAAAAATAGGGAAGGAAAGAGAGAAAGAAAGGAAGAGCGAAGCCCAGCCAAATCACTTCTCAGTCAAAATTTTTTCTACTTCTACATTTCTATTCTCCTTTCTACCTGGAGGGTTGAACCTTTCCCACTTTTGTGCCTTAGCCGATAATAAGAGTGGTAGTGTTTCGGCTATTCTTCAGGGAATGACTTTTTATATTTTGTTTTCGGTCGTAATGAGATTATATCATTCCGTTTGCTCATGTATAACAGTGAGGCGTGAGTAATCCGTTTATACTCTTTAGTAAACGGTGAATACATGTGTAATATTGTTTACGTCACGGAAATGCCGATGTTTTATTTATATTTTAATGTTCATACCTCCCTTAATTGATGGATGATTATATTTAAAATATTCTCATGGTTATGAACAGCGAGCAGAGCATAATGCTATATATCATACTATCTATTGATTATAGACGGGTTAAATCTTGTCATAGTTACTGTTTTTGATTCAATGCATAAACCGAAAACTCCATCTCCATTGAATTATCCCCCGAACTGAAGAGTATCTTTTTATCATTGTCTTTCAAAGTTTTAATTAAGTATTTATTTGATGATTCTAAACTCACACCACAAGCTATTCCATTGCACACTACTGCATTCACGACAATTTTACCATTTTGGTTTTAGATCCTAATAGTTAGCTCCCAGTGGGTTCAACCTCGAACTTAATATGAAAAATATTGTAATTTGACCACTTATACTTTGGTGTGTGATATAATTCAGGTTAGATCAAGCTTTTTGACGTCGTTGCCGAGGACTTACAATAATTTCAAAACAAACAGGTAAATTGTCTAGTTTGTATTATATGTGTATACATTGTTTGTCATATTTTCATTGTTTATGTCCGTTAAGTCATCAGTAGAATCTATAAATTAGTCTAGTCCTTTATCTTCTTCATCCTTATTGTCACAAGCATCATTTGAGTTAAGCATGACTAATAATAATCAAAGGGAATAAGTGATAGTTCAGAATGTCTAATCTTTAAGAAAATACTTGCACCCCACACGCACTAGAGTTCTGTCATATTTTGTTTTTCCCACTAATGCTCTAAATTTCAGCATTAAGGCTGAAACAATATAGCTTTTACCACAATTTCATTATTTGGAGTTTGAAAACCTTATTTGCATATGAAAGAATTTGAGGAAGTATGTGGTGTTTTGAAAGATAATTCTGAGATGACCCGACTGAAACTTTTTTCTTTCTCTTTGAAGGATAAGGCTAAGCAGTGGCTAAATTCTTTAAAAGCTCAATCTATTTTAAGTTGGCAAGTTTTGCAAATTGAATTTTTCAAAAAAAAAAATTCTCGTGCACCGCACTAATGCATTGAGACG